TAAACAACTATAGACCTATCAGCTTAATGTCTAATATATACAAAATATTCGCGAAGGTCATTCTTCTTCGAATAACAAGGACTCTAGACGAGAACCAACCTAGAGAACAAGCCGGGTTTAGGGCGGGGTACTCAACACTCGATCACATTCATGCAGTAAGACAAGTCTTTCAAAAGAACAAAGAATACAATGTACCATTCTACTGTGGCTTTATAGATTATAACAAGGCTTTTGACTCAATCGAGCACGAAAGCATTTGGCAAAGCCTGGAAAACCAAGGAGTCAAATACAAATATATTAGAATTTTGAAAAATTACATATACACGAGTATTACAGCCAGGGTAAAGTTAGAAAAGAAGAGAAAAGAAATAAAAATAAATAGAGGTGTCCGCCAAGGAGACCCCCTATCCCCCAAATTGTTCACTGCCGTCTTAGAAGAAATATTTCGGAAATTAAAATGGGACCAGTATGGCTTAAACATAAATGGAGAACGACTAACCCACCTGCGATTCGCGGATGACATCGTAATATTTGCTGAAACAAGAATCCATCTCCAAAACATGCTAGAAGATCTGGAAAGAGAAAGCCGTAAGGTTGGCCTAACAATGAACTTCTCCAAAACTAAAGCAATGACAAACGCGACCGAAGACCCTATTACATTAAATGGCGAACTAATCGAATATGTGAAGGAATACACCTACAGCTTAGGCCAACTGATCTCAACAACTAATTTAATGTCTAAAGAAATAGATACAAGAATAGGCAACGCATGGAAAAGCTATTGGAGATTAAAAGAAGTAATGAAAAACAAAGAAACAAAAATGTTTGTTAAGAAAAAGTTATACAATACTTGCGTGTTACCCGTCCTCACTTATGGCTGCCAAACTTGGGCCCTCACCAAAACACAACATGCAAAAATAAAGACCTGCCAAACAGCGATGGAGAGGAGCATGCTTAATATCAAGAAAAGCGACAGAATAAGGAACAAAACAATCAGGAAACAGACAGAAGTTGATGATGTAATATGTAGGATTCGGAAACTGAAATGGAGATGGAATGGCCACACAATAAGAGGCATTAAAAAATGGAACAAAGCTTTGGTTTTCTGGTATCCCAGAAACGCCAAAAGAAAACGTGGGAGACAGTTCTTAAGGTGGGAAGATGATATAAAAGCAACAGCTGGGAAAACATGGACCAGGACAGCACTTGACAGAAAAGAATGGAAAGATATGGAGGAGGCCTTTGCCAATGGCGGCACACAGACCGTTGTCGATGTCGACTCACGAGAGTCATAATTTTAATATATTTTAATTAATATTGTAACACAAATGTGTCTGAATAAAGGCTATATTATTATTATTATTATATATCTTTAAGAACACGAAATCTTACACGAACTTATTTTTGCAAATAATAAAGTATGCGTAACGAAAATAAATATTTTTTCCGTAATTTGATCGCGGGCGAAGCCGCGGGTGCTGCTAGTAAACTATATATTACACATATAAACTATATCAATATGTACTTATATTATAAATGTGAAAGTTTGTCAGTATGGATGTATGGATGTTTGTTACTCTTTCACGATATAACGGCTGTACGGATCTGGATGAAATTTGGCACAAAGATAGATTTTACTCTAAAATAACACATAGGCTACGTTATATCGCGGAAAATATACGGTTCCCGAGGGATAGATTTGTTATTATTTTAGTATATTATAATTTCCTTATATATTTTACGTTAGGAACATATATAATTCTATTAAAATAATAAATTATAATGTTTTATTAGAGTGAAAACCAAAAACAAATCTATGCTACAGGAACTGTACATTTTTCCGGGGATAAATTTCTATTTATTATTTATATACTACGTACTATTAATATTTGATTAAAACTATATATTATTAATATTTGATTAAAATTTCATCTGTTAGAGATCTGTTCGTCGATCGTTCTAGCATGATTGAGTAACAAACCTTCTTCATCCAAACTTTCGCATTTATAATATTATAGTAGTAAGATCATTTTTATTATTAAATTAAAAAAACATAGATCGTCAATCTTGAATAATTTGCATGGTGTTTCATTTTGTATATCTCCTCCTAAACGACTGGACCGATTTGGATAAAATTTTGTGTATATTTCAATGGGCTCCTGGATGGTTTAAAAACACAATTGGACTGTGTTGGTGGCTCTGCAGTCGGTGTGCCACTGACCATCTCCTAAACAGCAGAGACGATTTTAATTATATTTTTTGCGTATGTTCAAGTGTCCCTGCAAGGTTTGAATTTACAAATGCATCCGGTATGCGACGCTGCAGTCGGTGAGTCACTAAATTTTCATAAAAGACTCCATTTTCCGAACAATAAATAAATTAAAATTGTTGATTAAATAAAATAAAAATCTATTTGTGTATGTATGTATATTGTATGTTTCTTATGGCCTCCAAAACAGCTGGAGCGATTTTGATGAAATTTTCAGGTAATATTCAGATTAGCCTAGCGGATGATCCTGTGAATTTTGTTAGCTATCGGGATTTTGTTGTATAGGGTATTTTTTTACGTCGGATTCAAAAGTAACCAAATACCTGCTCGATCATTATTGATCAACATAAATACTATTAAGCCTAGTTCGCATTAAGCTAGTATTTTAGTCTAGTAGCGTGTAATTTAGCTACTAAATCACCAAAATCGTTCGCAATTTTGGTCGAGTACAGTTTACAAGTGAGTGGTGTTTTGCAAGATGAACAGCCTACAACGCAATAAAGTAAATAAACTGATTAATCTGATTAATCGGAATGTTTCATATGCTTGTTTTTATAATGCAAGGACCTAATTTTCCACAAGCATTCGTGTTCAACATATTTCGAAACAAATTTAAAAGTCATTTCTTCGCTCCAGCGAAACGACATTATGGCGGCAACTAATGAACTCGACTAATTCGACAGGTTCGTACTTGTTTAGCCGGTGAACCAGTGGGCTCGGACGCGTGGTGGGGGCTGCTACTCGCCCAAAAAAATAGAATAAAATGGATTAACTCGACTAAATTACTTACTAAACTAATCGACTAAATTTTTAGTGTTCAGACACGTTTAGTTACTAAATTACTCGCTACTAGACTAAAATACTAGCTTAATGCGAACTAGGCTTTAGCGACCAATTAGTAATATCGAAACTTCTAAACTATGGTCGCTTTTATCGATTTATAGTCTATTGTAAAAAAAGCTCATACTAACCTGTTTAACTTCCAAATATCCTTTGGTATATTGATTATATTGTTGCCGCCCAAATAAAGATACTTAAGTGATGTTAATTGTAAAACTTGTTCCGGAAAGAAATTTAGTTTATTCCCACTTAGATTGAGTTCTCGCAATGTATTTTTTGTAGATAAGAAATGTTTTGGTAAAGATTCATTCGTTAAATTATTGTGTTTGGCTATTAGTGATGTAAGAGGACAAATATTGAGAACATTTGGGAGTGATGTTAGTCTGTTATGGCTTACATCTAAAATTTTTAAGTTTACAAATTTGTTAATAATATCTGGTAGTGATTTGAATCGGTTGCTATATAGAAGACATATTTCATAATTCTCTGCACAATCCTTTTCATTAATAATGCTATTTAATTCTGATGACAAAGTGTCATAGTCCAAGAAACGGCTCGATAGGTCAAGTGTTTTCTGTTCTCTGCTGTCGCTGTCGCAACTATCAGATGTGTAGCACTCCATTTTAACTTTTACACTAATAAAATAATATATGGAATATTGTTATTGTTTCACATTTCGGAAAATAATATCTACTACTAATATATACTACTCGCCCGTCTCGCGGCGCACGCGCAACTAATGTGATAAGTGATTATGGCTCAGTGGGTGCTAGCGCTGACTTTTAGGTTGTTGTTAGCACACATATACGATACGTACAGATTAACACACGCGTAACCGATAACAGAAAAATTATCATACTGCGTAGTATACTTATTCTCAATTCCCGCGATTTATACAATTGAAAATTCAGCTTTTAAATTTCTTACTTCATTTTTAACATATCACAAAGAAATATAAAAAAGTAACAAGTTATTTTATATATTTTTCATTAGATACTTACGTATTTTAATTAAATTAGTTTTATTTGAAATTTGCAATATTAAATAAAAAAATGCAATTTTTAAATTAAATAAATCACAGCGTAAACGTTTTAACTCGTCCAAAACTTATCCAAATGTTCTACAGCCTACTTCTAATAACAACGCTTAACTTTAGTTTACTCAACTGAGTAATAGGTGGCATTATTTACCTATTTGATAAAATATGAGGTCACATATAAATATTTTTTTAAAGTAATTATAATAAAAGTTATTAAATTCATTAATTCTATAATAAAAATTAATTCTCACCTATATGTCTATGTTTAATATTATGTGCTATTTTTAAATATTGTTATGAAACTGAATCTTTGCGGCGAAATTAAGTGTTTTTGAAAATATTTATTTGAATATTAATAATAATTACTACTTTTGGAAAAAGGCAAATTTTTTAGAAATTTTCTATCCTTTAAAGAATTATATATTAATATTACCTACTTACATGCCAACAAAAATGCATATTCCAAACTATTTTTATTTTGCGTCGATAGGAACGCTTGCTATTACGTCACTGATCGAAGACGAATAGAACCCGAGCGCGTGCCGAAATTAGCCGAACGAACGAGCGAGCATAAAGTCTGTGAATTCCAAAGAAACTAAAAATTTGTCGTTCACATTATTGATGTAAAATTTAAAAATCTAACAAAATGATATTGTAAAACATTGTTAAGACAATTAGTTATCTTTTTAACACTATCGTAGTGATATAGTTTTGAATGTTGAATCCCTAACTTTGTATAATAGTCGGCAAAGTGAGAGAGTTCAGTGCGAGTGCAAGCAAGGGTGGTAACGAGAAATGTGAAGTAGTATCTATGAAGTTCAGGATTCGGTCGTTTATTTTATACCTATAATAATGAGCGGACGCCCTAGGACCACGTCATTCGCCGAGGGCAGCAAGTCCGTTCGAAAGACATTTGAAAATCAACCACCGAAACCAATAGGAGGCGTAAAAATTAGCAGTGAGTACCACCATTCTTTGTCGGCCATCGTGATTTCTTACACTGTGACGTTTCCTTGTACTGACACTAAAAGACTTGTACCAAATATTCGTGTATTTCCTGTAAGTTAGACGTATTAAAGAAATCGATGTAGATGGCGAAATGTCCATATCATTTCAGCTTATAAAAATGGCCACAGCCTTTTGATCATCCGTTTTGCCACATAAGCCTTCGTTGATGAGTGACAGATATCATGTCAAAATACAATTTTTGAGAAAAAACTAATGGAGTAACCCTTGAGTACGTTTTAATTTTCATCATGTTTTCTATATCCACATAAAGTGATCTATATCCACATAGAGTGAACTTTGAAGTACATGAAATTTTAAATACATTTTTTAAGTTGTCTTTTTGAGGTTACTTTTTAATGACGTAATTAAAGATAGGACCTCTAATTTGTATTTTAGTAAACTTCTTTTGCCAGTTTCTGAAGCTGTAGAATAAATAGGAAGTGCATTACATTATTATGTAGTAAGTAATGATGAAATATTTAAGCTAAAATTTTGAGTTAAATTAAGAGCCAGAGCTTAATTTTTTATTTCTTCCAATTTTTATCACTTAAAGAAAATATAATAAATATTCCTATTATTTAAATGTAAGACTATGTCGTCATATTTCATTTTAAAATGTTCTTGTATGTATTTACTATATTTAATAGCTTCACGCATAACTGATATTGCATATTCCTCATTTTAGTAATAATATTCATGTAGCTTTTATGAAAAAGCTACATGGATATTATTATATTATTACTAAAATGTGTGGATATTATTATATTACCAGTATATTACACAAACATGTGCATATTGTATGATACAATAAAAATATTATAAATGGGATGAATTTCAAATTAATTTATAAGCTTAGATATAAATTATATTAGACTAGTGACTCACACGCGCTTAACTAAGTTTGTCTCTAGGTGATTCTTTAAATTAACATAACTTTTTATTTATGAACCAATTGAAATAAAATAAATACTAAATGTTTGGTTAAGTTAAACCGTTACTGAGATTAGTGTGTACAAATGCATAGACAAATAGAGAAATATTCTAAAAATCATTGTGTTAATAAAGACCTCCAATAATATTTTTCTCAAATATATTCCTAGACCGTGATCACTTTCATCTGATCAATCTGACCTTTTACTTAAAAATTCAAAGTATAAACTATTCATTAGAACAAAAATAAAAAAATTGACAAAAATTCTAAGAACTATAGATTCTGCCTCTGTATCGATAATAATGTTTATTTCAATAAGATTTTCCAAAAAATATTTAATGTACAGATTCGGCTTAGTAACAATTTTAATATATTGTAAAAAATAAAATAGTTCATAGTTCTTTCCCTGCACGCGAGTCGCACTTTTGGTGTTATACATACAATGAAATAAAGTTATTATTATGACCTTTGAAGAGATATAATATATTATGCTGTTTTAGACTTTTACCAGTTTAATTAAATAAAAGATTCCTATTTCTTTCCCTGCACGTATCTCATTGTTGGTGTCATACAATAAAATGAAAAAATGACATAATTGTCACAAACTTGATTCTCTCTCTCTGGTGATAGTGCCGCCCAATGTCCTTTGTAAAAAGTTCAATTCTATATCATTCAAATTATAACAATTAGTGTTCCCTGCTTAGAAATTGAGAAATTGGTGATTCAGTGGCATGGGATACGAAGAAAGGCCCATTTTTTTTCACTTTGTAAGTTGTATATTGTTCTTTAATATATGGTTAGTAAATCACAACTTTTAGCTAATTTTATTACCTATCTATTCAACAGCATGCAACTGGCCTGGATGCTAAAAGAAATACTGTTGAGTGAAGTGAGAACATATCACTCATATTTTTATGCAAAATATGTTGACAAATATAAATTTAATAGTTTCATATATCATAACATTTAAGCACCTCTGGGGACTGGGTGAAGTTTGCATTTTTGATAAAGTTGCTAGGTTACTTTGGCTCATCAATTCATTGTATACTAATGAGACTGCTTATACAATTTTGCTTTAACATGTTTAGCATATTAGCACTCAAAAAGTAACAAGTTTCTTTCATATGACAATCTTATTTATTTTTTTAAGATGAAGATGAAAGAATAAACTTATTATCACGAAATTATGTCTACAATGTAGGATGTAGGATTCCCATTAGAGTAGCCAGGAGACTCATATTATAGGGCTGACTTAGTTTGAGCTCCTGCGTCCCACTTATGTATGTTATATGTATTTTAAATGTAAAATTTAATTCTGCATGTTAGAGAAATAAATAAAATTTATAGATAAATATAAAGGATTCCTATTAGCATTAGGATCTTCTTCATGCTAGGCTGGTATGCACTTGACCATTTTTTTTTTTTTTTCGTGTCTTGTACTCACTTCGCTTAGGCCCTAACTACCTACGCCAATTTTAATACTATAAATGCGCTAATTTTTTATGATATGACAAATTAAAAAAATTCGCTACGTTTAAATACTAGTAGCTGAGTTATTAACGCGCTTCGACGTTGCCCTTAGACCTAATACGTTGGCTGTCGACACTACACTCTCTACACTAGTTATTCAAATGTACATATGATTAAGGAACAGATCTTGATAATTTGGATAAATGTATCTACTATCTACATATTATTTACATATATATGTATATCAAGACATGCGGTAGTGTCCAGCCAAGTTCGAGCCAAAGGCCAAAGTTTTTACATACAAGTTATCTTATATTCGGCTGATCACTTATATCTTCTTTATGCTATACGCAAGCTACTGTTTTATATTGTAAGGTAAACATGGCTCACTGTTCTAAAAACTTGCTTGACTGGTAAAAACTAGCCAAGTCAAATCTTATACTTCAATTTATCCTAACTCCTAAGTTATCTACTCTGTGTAAATAATTCGACTGTTGAAGTTTAAGAAGTTCTATTTTTAAATGCAAAAAAAAAATTGTAGCAGAAAAAACAAGAAATTGTGTTTTAAATTTATTTTAAAATGTTGTATGTTCTTATGAAAAAATTTCAGGATTATCTACAGAACTTGGCACCCATTTAGATCTCAATTCTTATGTTGGTGAAGTTGACAACCACGCATATTCTTCATATTGAACTTGGTTTCCATTTTCACATTTATATTTTTGATGGGATTTTTCATCTACACCATTTAATATGGTATTTTTTTTAATGTTGCAAAATACATTTACCCATGTTATGCGTACCACATAACCACCATTTAACATAACATATATAACCACCTGTATGTATGCCAGCATACATATAGGTGGTTACGTGGGACTTACCGGCCAGAAAAGCTAGTCTACTCACTGAAACCCTACGGAACTTATCGTGTCTTAATGGGGTCTAAATCAACCATTTAGGTAATTTGTACTGTGCGTTCATAGATGGTGCTGTTTGCATTCAATGAACTGTAAACAGTTCAGTTGCAAAGTTTTAGTCAGTAAAATTTGTTATCAAAAGTGTTAGCTTCGCTTATTGCTATGTTTTAAATATTTAAATGCACATAATTTCATAAAAAATTTGGCAGTCATAAGTAACTCTAATTTTTGCAAATCTTTTTTGATTTCGCTTTGGGAGACCATCATAGGATGTCGGCCGTTAGCGTTCAGAGGAGTGTGAAACTCTTACTTATTAAATTGATGTAGGTATCATGTGTAGTGAGCCAAAATATAGGAACACAAATACACTTACTGATTATTTCTAATAGTGTTTGATACTAACACTTGTCCACGTTATCGGTTTTGTTATCAGTAAGCGTCGGCGATCTCGCTATCTCGCGGTCGTGGCAAGAGCGCTTCATCCTGTCATTCACGTTATAACCGTGCCAACGTACTCTCGGGTTTTGCCTTTCGCTTAGCTACTTATACAAACTTTAGCGTTCAAAACATAATCGCCAAGTCCGGTGCATGTGGCTAAATCTCTAATCAGTTTGTTTCACCCAATTACTACTAGTGTGTATTTGTATATCGGGTTTGTGACGTCGAAAAGTGCGTTCTTCCATTTTTTTTTATTTAACAGTGACAATACAATTATTCATCGTAATGTAATGTCTATTTTCATGTGTTTCGATTGAACTTAAATATCCTTCGATTGTGAACGGTGATTGATCATGATTAATAATCATAAGTGTTTTAGTTGTTTATTATTAAGTAGAAATTATAACGTTTACTACAATCATGTTACGACGACGAGGTACTTACACGGTGAATGCAGAGACTGGTATACGAAACGATCACGCCAAGGCGCAAGAGTTAACCACAGTTGTAAATAAAATATTTGGTAGGTTGTCTATAGTAGAAACCTAAGATCTAACTATATTGTCAGAAAATATTTAAGTCAACATTGAATTGATCTAAACTATACAGTCTTATATCACGAAGCATAAGGTTATTTCCTTTTTAAGTAATCAAACCGTAGTGTATATAATGTCAAAGTTAAATTTCGCTTATAGCTGCGTTCTCTTTTAAACTACCAATGATAAACTTTAAGAAAAAATATAAATTACTTTTACGTTCACTTTTAGTTTTATGCATAATAGTTATATACATACATCACTTTTAACTTTCTAAGTCATTGTTATGTGTAAGTCTAAAATGTAATAAGATTGATTTGCTCAAAAATGTAATAAGTTTCATTTATATTTACAAATATCTTTAATTATTAAGCGGAATATGTTCTAATACTTTCCATTAAAGCATAACAACAGTTTTATGGATGTAATTTTAATTTATGCTATGTAACAGTAACAAGTGATAAGATCTGATAGAGGTTTCGTTAATATCGATGAAAGATAAAAAATATTACATCTACTTGTATTTGCCTACGTAAGTATGATTTTAGAATAAAAACCTTGTAGGTACGTATTGAAAAGTACGAATAAGTATTAAAATGTAAACAATAAAACAGCGTAACATACATACATATATCGTAATCTCGTTCATTTCGTTATGTACACTATATAGACCCCAAAACAATAGTTATTAAAAATTTTGTCTGTTTGTGTGTGTTCGTTTCACGCGAAAAGTACTTAATGAACCGATTTCAACGAAATTTCGCGAAGTGATAACTTATTACTCCGGTCAACATTTATTCAATTTACTACAAGAAAAATCATTCCCACGGGAAAACATAATAACTGGTTCTATCGAGTCATCCTTAGAAAATATCGCTAACGCTGGCTAAACCTTAAGAGATACATCAAAACAATGTACTAGATAATTGTAGATCTTAAAAAGGTCTACAGAAAAATCCGCAATAGTATATGCGCAATACTATTTTTATTAGAGTATATATTAAAGTTCAGCCTAAGCCGATGATGTTAGACCAGCGCCATAAACAAGCCAGCTTTATATATCCATATTAATATTAAATGCATAAGTATCTGTCTGTCTGTCGGTCGATCCCTTTTTACGCTTAATCTGCTGAACTAGTTTAAATGAAATTTGGTATGGAAATAGTTTGAGATCCTGGGAATGACATAGGATAGTTCTCATCCCGGAAAGGATATCATATATAAGGGGGTGAAAGATTGAATGGGGAATCAATCATTTCTCAAGTAAGGGATATATGTTTTTTTTTTAATTTTTATAATACCTTCTTTTCTATACTTATGTACCTATGTACTTACCGGTAAAACTAGTTAATAGGTTCAAATCCGAGGGAAGCGAGGGTGAGTCGCGAGTTTATAAGAATTCACAACATAATACGATATTCATTAGTAATATTACACTTGATGCCTTTATCTTGAAAACGGCTACTTATTTCACGATGAAGGATTTTGTAAGAAGGCATAATAATATTATTTTCACTCTTGAATTTTTGTTAGGTAGTATTATATATTATCTGTCGATAGGAAAATGAAAATATTGAGCTGTTTTTTTGCCAAAAATCGAGTAAAAGATGTTGATAGTTAAAATTAGGAATTCAAAAACCTTTTTCCCTATCTGTGAAACGAACAATTTTGGCAAAATGTTATGCCTGTCAAAAGGTCTAAGTAGGTAGGTAAGTGTAGCAGGCATCTAAGTTCAAGAACCAATCGTGGCTGGAGTATTTCTTGGACGAAGTGCCAAGATGGTTTAAAGCACTTAAAATATTATTGGACGTGAATATAAATGTTATAGGATTTCAGATGTTACTAATTTTTATTTAAAAATCATATTTTTTTTAATATTCTCGTCATGTTATAATTTCATTAAAATATGACACTTTGATAATGATATTTTAATATAATTCGATAAAGTATGTATCGTAACCCTCGCTTATCAAAAAGGTGCATAGGAATTAACGAAAATCTGTGACTGTCATAGGGAACACTAATCGCATCGATATCCATGATGTGGTTATTATGTTCTAATGACATTTTCATATAATTTTTCCTCTTTCTTCTATTTTTTTATACATGTATATGTATTTTATGTATGTATATTTTTCCTAAGTGTTTACTTGAGTAAGTAAATAGTAATCACAATAAATGAAATCAAAAATCATGTAGTAATTTTGTTCCTTATTAGAGGAAACCTTTTCCACAAAATAAGATATTAATTTTGACCAGCCATTCACTCTGAAAGTAATGAACGCATGATTTATGTATATATATAATGTCATGTGTCTCATGACATGTCTCTTCATAGGTATTTTTATTTGCGTTTCAAAAAATATCTTTTTATTTTTTTGTGTTTAATGTTTATCATTCTTACTTAATTTAAACTTATACTTTTAGGTAGATTTTCACATAAGGGTCTTTTGTAACTGTTTTTTTTGCAAGCAAATTTCATTAAAACCTGTCTAGTAGCCGTTTCAGCATAAAGGAGTAACAAACATACACACACAAACATTCAAACTTTCGGATTTATAATAGTAGTCCGATATATATTATTATTGACATTGACTTAATTTTACTTTTAGCAATATTAAAAAAAAAATATTGCGATGAAACTAACCGCGTGGTAACTAACAATGGCGCACATTCTGATTTCTGACGTATAGGATGCGTCAGAGATGGCATGACCGGTTCTTCTATTATGTGCGGTTAGCGTTGCGACAATATCGCCTTAGCAGCATTCAAAGGAGACTAACATTTATGTTACCTAACCTACGCTAGGTGTCGATTTCCACTAACAATAAATGCGCATCGAGGTGTGACCAGGGAAGTGAGTCTTATGTTTTGTTATTGTTACGTACGTATATATAAGTACGAGAATAGATAAATTATTAATTTAAATTATAATTTTATATATCTAAAACTATAACAATAATACCATTGTCATTTTCACTATATGGATATATTATGTATATGCAGATTGCGTACTTCAAGATTGAAACTAGAGATAATAAAAAATTGAAATGATGACATACATGTACAAATATGATAAGGTCATTTTATCGAAGCAATGAAGAGATAAATTTCCAATAGTGTTATTAAGCTGTATAAATATAGAGCAACCACAGATAAATCAATACGCATGTAGAAAGCGAAAGTATATCGAATTTCTGATTCTTATTGTTCACGTGCGCGTGCGAAGAATCCGAAGAACTTCGCCAAAAGCTTTAATTTAATTAAAGAATTTTATGTAAGCAATGTCATTATTGTTTATATAGGTAAATAACATTTGAAACTGAAATATAATGCTTTTGAAAAATAATGTTAGGATACATTTGCTCTACTAGGAGAATTCAACTATTAAAAAGTTCAATGACCATTAAAAACATGCCACTTGATTATTTACTAGTAATAAGGACCAATTTAAATAGCTAATTAGAGTTTAATACTTTTTTTTATATTAAATTAACTGCATCGTCTTCATAATCGAACATCGAACTTATAAATGTCGTTTTACACAAAGGAATATTTACATTTTTATTTAAAACAAATTATATGTAATCTTTCACACAACACTACTTTTTTTCTACTTATATGTAATATGTTTTTATACATAATTATATGTATTTGGAAATATTACCGTTTCATTTTTTAAGTACATAGTGCAAAGCTTTCAAATAACCTTGTCCATTAAATTAGTGTGACCTAGGTTTTAGTGTGGCGTAGGTTGCCTTTCTTCGTGTTTAACATTACTATGGAATCATTTACCGTTACTCTATATTATTGTAAGATAGATCCTACGTTTTTAAAAACGTGAAAGAGCCAGCTTAAGTAACGTTGCGTGTGTTTGACGTCATTATTTACGCATTAGTTCTTGTGTTTAATCTGAAAAGATGCTATTTATAATTTTCAATACTGCAATGTCAAGTAAGATCCTAGGAGTGCAAGTTTCCTCATAAATTTTAGAACAAATTGTCTTCTCTAGTTGAAATATATAAAATACCATTGTTTTTTTTTAATTCTATTTGTATATTCTAAAACAAAAAAAAACAAGTAACAGACAGAAAGCCCTTGACATTTTTTAAATAGGCTTTTTATGTATCCGAGCGGAAAACTACTTTAACGTAAATGTCAATAAAATTAAACAAGCTTCAGATCGCGTCTTCGCGCTTTCAAAACAATAATTAATAAGATTATTCTATCAAAATGCACTTACTTTTATAAAATTTCTTTTTTATAAATAACCTAGTGAGGTCGTAAGCTTTAAGACGAATAAAACGAATAATAAATATAACTTTTTTGGCTACCAGTCTTTTTAAGACTAACCACATTCCAGGCTGGCAGCAGTTTACGGACTAGTAATACGAGATTTGGCCCTTAAATTCACGTAGTATTTGCGTAATTCAATTTCAAAGCAGTTACTTTGATTTCTCAACTTTTTGCCAGTTTTTGATGAATCGGTAGAAAGTTAAAAAGAACTTGCTGATTAGAACTTTTTATCGTGCTTGGCTTTTCGTAAAAAACAAAATGGTATAAATAATGCAATATATTGTTTAAATCAATTGAAATTTGTGTGCATAATTTTTTAACATTTTAGATTTAAACGTTTATGACGTAACATGTCTAAATTATCAGTGACAATATAAAGAGATGAACACGCGCGCATGCTTTGTGATACTGATCAATCCTGAACTGAAAATAACATGTTATCATACGATGATATATACCACTGTGTTGTCAGGACTGATTTTTAATTTTTTTATTATTATTAATATTATTATAATTATTATGAATTATTAGATATTTCATATCATTTTCTTTTTGCCGTTATTTTGATTTGTTTATATAGTAGTTTAACTAATGATTAGTTATATGTAGCTAGGGGTAGAATACCAAGCATGATATTATGTGGAATAGTGCCTACTACTTGCAAAGTTAGAATAGCCCATTGTCGTATGATTGCGATATCCATATTAAGTTCTATGAGACGCGGTGTGGCGAAGTGCCGCACTGTTTGACGGCAGTTTGCTACGACGCGCGGTCGCGTGCGTTCCTCCGCAAAACTGGAGTGTTCCGTTGGTCCAGTATGCCTAGACACATTAAGAGTTGCCGACAGTGCTGCAAATATGAACTTGCGTCCTGTCGGCAACGTATCCTCTTGCTCCGAACCAGCCCTGTCTCGTTTACTTGATACGGACAAAAGCGGTCAATTAAGCCGAGCGAGAGATCGTTTCTCCTATTTCTGTAAAAAACTACGGCGCACCATCAGTAAGTTATATATTTAAAAAATATTCCCAAGACAGTTCATGCATCATACCATTTCATACTTACTGTCTCATTCATACATGTATTCCCATTTCAATGTTCTAATATTGCTTTTGTATTTTGCCACGAAATACAGGCGACGTGGATACACCAAAAAAGGCCGAGCTGGCTTCGGATAAGAAAACTACTTCATCACATCGTAAGTGCTAGATGTGGCGCATTCATTTGCTCGGTTGTAGTTGTAGATTATGATTATTATTTAAAATCATGATGAGTTATATTTTTAAAAATTAGGTTGTTGTGACAAATTTTTCAATATTTTTCTCATGTTAATTAATATGGAATAATTCATGTACATATTAGGAATAGTTTCTTAACATTCACCACATCGATATCATCATTAATAGCTGTTTTTTAAGTAATGTATGTTATAAGTTTTATTGTGATTGTTGTGTTTTTCTTTGTAGAAAATGTACATTTGCTGTTTTTAAATAGGTTTTTATATGTAGTCATTATAAAACCAAGTAACAGGCTTTGAATGAATCATATAAAATAGTTCTTTTTATAATTTTCGCGTTCATTAAAGTTACTTTATTAGTTTAAATAATTCTGTTTTAATCATATTTTTTACTAACATTTCTTAATTATAAAGAATATGGTCAATTTTACGATTTTGAAATCTAATATATAAAATTCTCGTGTAACAAACCACAGTGTTTAAAAATTACATACAAATCTAAATTTTTACTAGGGATGAACCCGAGCGGTAGTATGTATTATAAAACTCCTATCTAATAATATATAATCGGCGAATCAAATATCTATGTAAATATAATATGTACTCCATAAATTTAAATCCATTTCAAAGAATACCGAAATCTATCTCTGTTATTAACTAAATGCAGAAATGTCTATTTGTGTGTCCTTCTTTTATATAACAATGGCATATTGGTTTGACTATGTTTTTCTGAGAGATCGTTTATGGGCTAGTGTCAAATTTAGGTTACTTTTTATCCCATCATTACATGAACTTGTTTTCATGAGACATTAGTATATTACAAAGAAGTAAAACTGCAAAACGTGCAAATAGGAAATGAGGTAACTCAGTAGAATAACGGTAGATTTAAATATAACAGATTTAATTGGGAACCCAAGTTGACTCTAGTTCATTTAAGTCTTGATTAATTTATTTCAACTTAACTTTTCCGCAACATAAAAATATTCATATGTTTATGAGCTTGATTGTAGGTAACGTATCCATCAAAGTCAACTCGAAAGCCTCTACAGCCGCACCCAAGTATTTCTTATTGACGCAAGTCCAAGCGTTCTCCACCCTTGTTTATCAGCATGTTTATCTAATGTACATTTGTTATTTTTTTTTCAATCCTCACATACCTACCTATAAACTATTCATATTTCATATGTATATGTTGGCAATTAAAATAATTACCCACAATATACCTACCTAATCTAAAAAAATTAAATTCAATATTTTGAGTAACCCCCGACACAAAAAAAACCCTCTAAAAAGTAAAAAAGTAAAATTTCTCTGTTGGCCTTTTTAACTCCTTAAAAGTACTTAATTTATGTGTTGAGGGTTACCTACTTAAAAAAAAATATATATATATAATTTTTAATTAATTCTTTTGTAATTACTTGTGGATTCTAATCCTAATAGATAACTCTCATTGAGTCTATTCTTATGCGTCCAAACATACTACATATATCTGCTATAAGTTTCTGAGGAATTTGAGCACTCCGCAGACTATTTGATGGTACAGAATCTGCTCAAAGTTAGCAAGCATATCTTGGAAATATCACCGAACTAACAGTACACCAAATTTGAAATTAATATGATCTGTTGAAATTAGTGAGACCCTTTTGTCAAGAATGAAAAGCAATGCCTGAACGGATCTTCATAAATTATAGCTAGAAGAACCATCTTGATCAAGTCAGCTTTCAAACAAAAAAACTGCATCAAAATCGGTCCATTCGTTTAGAAGCTACGATATCACAGACAAACACGTAAAACTTATAGGTATTCAGCCCTTTTTGACATCCCACTGCTGGGCACGGGCCTCCCTTCAATACGAGGGGGATCAGGCCATAGTCCACTTCGGTGGCTAAGTGCGGGTTGGCGGACTACACATGTCGTTCGAAAACTTTTTAGGTTATCTCAGACATGCATGTTTCCTCACGGTGTTTTCCTTCACCGTAAGACAAGTACAAACTTATAACACCGCGTTTTTGCGTATATATCATCGCATAATAATATGTATGCTTATATTCTCCGATTTTACGCAAATTAGAATATGGAACGACTATTCCATATTCGATACCTTTTTCTATATAAAAAAAATTATAAATTATGTTTTAAAAATAAAAATCATATTACTGAGATATGTAGTTCGGAAACTTATTTTCAAAACTGCAGATAATAGCAGCAGCTAAATAAATAGGTATTTTTAAGTTCTTTTATGCTAATTAAGGATAATCTATAATATTATATTGTGAATACAATTGCTTAAAAATGTTAAACACTTCTAAAGCAATTGATGTTTATACTAACTTCCAGTTGCTTTAAATAGAATTTGAATAACTAAACATCCAGATGGATTTACATAGTAATTATTATGAAATATTTAAAATAAGCTTTAAAAAATTAGGTATTTGTTTGGGTTAATGAGACTAAAAATCCTTTTTGTGTTAAAAAGTATATACCTATAAGTACATCGTAGTCATTACATAGATAAAACCTCATTGTCTTATTTGAGATAGTAAAAAAATAAAATTATACTGAGTTTTTAATTTTTAATCATTGTACGATATACAGATTGCGAACATAAAAAATTACAATTAGAATAATAAGATTTATTCTTTAAGATTATCTCAAAAAATAGCATCATTGACTAATATATGTATGTACATTGTTTTTAAAATTATATTTTTAAACGATAAACTGAGAACATTACCTAAAATATGTTCACTCACTAATTTTGCTTAAACACATTAGCTTTGTTTGAAGTAGAGTTATTTTTAAATGTAGATTACTAATAAATAATAATTATATTTTAAACTAGGTGGTTGAATTTGTCAAAATTTACATATTTTCAAATTTTTATACAATGTATGTTTAATTTTGATAATGTAGTGACTAGATGGACCAAATTTTATACCTCCAACCGTGTTCATATAACAAGGATTGGGATAATGACTCAAATGGTATTTCTACCTTTCCTTATTTAGTATTACTATTACGTGTTTGGGCACACCCTCGTTTTGACGAGTAATCATTTGTGTCATAAGTATCTACTGTGTGCATTTATACGTCTACGTCTTAACACCGAATAAAAATCGTATTACAAGAATTGTCGATATTTATTATTGTTTTGGCCTAAGCATAAGCCAGTTATTATAACGTTCGGTATTTCAATATTCATAATGCAATGACAATATTATGTACTCATAAATGCAACAATTAGTATTACTAATATAAGAGTGCTAATTAAAGCAAAGCTAATTGTTACCTCCATTCCAGTTTTCTTGAAGATGGTTTTATATATTTTTCTATAAAATCCACATATTCATATTATGTACTTTAGTAATAATAATATATTTAATAGAAACATATTTTATCAATACATTATTTATAATAATATATTGGAAAGAAGATCTTCATGCTGTTTACCTAGATTTCTAAAATATGTACCGTTGCTAACAATTCATTTGGATTGTTCTGCTGAGCTGAACCTGTTCAATGGCTATTAGTAAAACCTTCGAATTTGGTTTATTTGATTAGTTATGATAAATTTCGTTACACATCCATACACTGCAATTGGTCAGAAGGGTATTTAATTTCTGTTGAATTAATTATGTATAATTATAATTTTATCAATATTTTCTGTCTGTATACCACCTTCAAATAATCACAACACAATGAGTAGTGTAATCTCTACTCAGAGGTATGTTATGTAAGCCTGTTTTTTGCATGAGCTTTTTTAAGCATAATTTTCTTACATTTTAAAAATAAATAACGAATTGATGACCCACCCTCTCAGTTTAATGATCGTAATGCATATAACTGGTAACCTAGTTTTCTTCAGTTGACACCAGTTGAACCCTGGACTTAAATAACAAAAAAACTTGGGATGATGATGTAGTTTTCAGCAGCAGCATAAGTAAGGAGAGAAATTAAGTTTACGTATATTTTTTAAACCACAAAATGAAGTGTACATTGATACATGTACATTGTAATTCAATTTAGGGTAAGCATTTATGGATCGTTAAGGAGAGTTAGTTTGAAAGTTATTTTAAAGTTCCTATTCCTTGGGGCCTAAATAATTTTCTTCAATTGTTTTTAATTGGATAGCCTCCTGTCACGTTCACCAATACGCAAATATTAGCGTTTTGTGGTAGATTTTTATCATGCATCGTTTCCGCTTATTTATGGCCTGAAAACAGTACATACATTAACTGACAGATTTGAGAGATACTATTCCATTTTTTCAATATTATTAAAATTTTATATTATTTATTTGTATTATTATAAAAATTTTAATAAAAAAAGATGCCTAAAGTACAGTTAACGTATTACTAGATTAAAAATTAACGTAATCCTTTCTGGGACATTTTATACATTTCTAATAATACGGGTTTATAAAAAAAAAAACTAAATAATTTAGGAAAAAAAATTGTATTGAGTTTCAATAGTGGCTTTGTTATTTCAGGCAAGGACGGGTCGAAGGTGACGACCGTGGTGGCGACGCCGGGGCAGGGCCCCGACAGGCCACAAGAGGTCAGCTATGCCGACATGAAACTTATCGGAAACGGCAGCTTCGGCGTCGTGTACCAGGCCAAGTTATGCGATACCGGCGAACTAATTGCCATCAAGAAGGTGCTCCAGGATAAAAGGTTTAAGGTTTGTTCAACGAACATTATTTTAAACGTACCTATAAGTCCAATAAGGTCGGAGTCACATATAGTATATATAACAAGAAAAAAAGTATATTCATGCAATGTAACATTTAAAAACGGTATCACATATCTATTCTAATATTATAAAGAGATAAAGTTTGTGACTTTCTGACGTTGTAGGGGGTAATCTCTGGACCTACTAAGCCGATTTAGATGAAATTTGGTAAGAAGATAGTTTGAGACCCTGGGAAGGAAATAGAATACTTTTTATCTCGGAAATCATTCTTGAACGGGGTAAAAATGGAGATGAAATTTTGTATTGGGAATCAAGCTAGGGACTAACCCAAGCGAAGCGAGCGTGAGTCGCTAGTCTAATATATTTAAACGAGCAATTCTTGTATTTACTTATTTATTCCGGCGGTCTCGGAAACGGTTAACGATTACGCTGAAATTTGGTATGTGGGGGTTTTTGGGGGCGAAAAATCGATCTTGATTAGTCTTATATCTGGGAAAACGAGTGTTTTCGAGTTTTCATGCCGTTTTCTTTCGCAATTTTCCACGCAAAATTTGGTCGTTAATTTCGAACGCTCGGGCATAAGCATCGTAGTCAAGCGGCCAAGGCGCAAGATTGACTATCATGACAGGTGTCGTCCGGGTTTTCTGTATAATTGGGACATAAGTAAATCCTGTATATGTGTTTATATATTACATTTTACAGAATCGAGAGCTGCAAATCATGCGACGACTGGAGCATTGTAATATCGTCAAATTGAAATACTTCTTTTACTCTAGTGGAGAAAAGGTAAATATATAAAAACCAGATAGTGTGCATACTGATTAACAACTGTACTACTATTTGTTTGATTTAGTTGAATATATTTATTTATGTTTATAAATCATGTGATGCTAAAAGATTTAATATGAGTATGTAATTTGTATGTTTTATTTGGGGGAAGGTGGCAGTGCCCGACGCAGTTAGCTCTCTGCTAAACGCAATGCAGTCTCTAGAAGTCGCAGTATGTCTAATGAACAAATAAGATTATTAAGCTAGTGTGCTAACGCACATTTAGGTTTCCCAAATTTTTGGCAGAGGTTACCGATTTACATACCTCATTTATCATTAGTGCGAAATCATACAGGTCGGTGACCTAAGAAGCCTTGCAGTTGTGTGTTTATGCAACTTTATAATGACAGCGAGTTCTAATCACGCCATCCGTTATATAAATAGCTTTTGTTTAAAATCGATGGAGGCTCGAAACTGGTATTATCAAGATCATTCTTACTCTATACAGTGCGTCTGTCTTGTGATCATACAATTGCTTTCGTGATTTGTGTTTTGATTTTTTTTTAATTTTATGTTTTGCACTTCGCTTAAATTCAGCTATTCTTTATCATAATAACTTGTGGTTGATGGTGTATATAAATATCCAAATACCGCAAAAATAATTACCTCATTTTAACTAGCTAGCTTTTTGCTTGTGGCATAGCTCAACTTCGTATCATACAAATTCAATGTTTTTTTAAAGTCATAATTTGAAGTGCCTCTTTTTATTTTACAACCGACTACTAGACGTCGTCATTCTGAATTTCTGTAGGTTTGAGTGTCAGAACGCTATAAAACTACATATATTTCTCAACAACTAGTTATATGTGCGGGGTAGAAACAGTAATACAATAAAAATATTTTTTACAATATTTCTTACTCTCCTAGATTTTTGTACAAACACTAGTTTTTGCTTGGCTCCATCCGAGTAGTTGACTATAATTTCCACTCGATACAATAATTTCATACAAAGTGCGCAAATATTATGTGCTTTGGTATTAATGGTTCCAATTTTAAGGGCCTTAGCGTGATCTTAGTCTTCTTCTATAATAAATAAGCTATTAAATGCAAAACATTTTTTTCAAATAAGACGAATAGTTTCAGAGATTAGCACAACTCTTTAGCTTTATAATATTAATTTGTGCTATGTTAATTCATTTTAATTATAATAATAAAGTAACGTTAGAAAGATTTTTTATTTATGATATTAAGTACTTAATAATAGCGATAACACGTTTAATGAAGGCTATATTGTTAAAATAAAATGGGTTTCATGGTTTTTTATACAATGATAAAGTATAACCATGTTTATTTATTAAGACTATTTATTCTGCTGCGATTGTTAAAAAACATGCTCAGTGTAATTTAGTTTTTTTATATTATATTTGCCAATTATATTTATCGTGTAAAAGTAAGTTGTTTTGGCCATAGTGTTTTTACGCTAAGATTTTAAAGATAAGCAAAGATTTTGTCAATATACAAACAAAATTATATAACTTTTTACTATACTATAGTGATATATATTTTGAATATACAATACGACATTATTACGCTTTATCTTTAATTTAAAATATTTTAACTACATATTTGACGATCAATGAAATTTCTTTTTACATGTGGTATTTATATTACAATTGTAATTTTACATAACTATCATAGCAAAAATTGTAAGAAAACTAGATTTGCTGCTATATACAAGAAGTTTATTCTTCAGGCATTAAACTATGAGAATTTATTGAGAATATGTGAGAATTTAAATATATAATTGTTTTGACCATTCTATGCCCAATAACAAGTATTTTTTTACATTAATAGCAGTCTCTTAATTGAATAAGTACAGATTGGGTTTTTGTTTTATTATGAAATCATATTCTCGCCCATGCTTTTTATAATAAAATGTTGTTTTATAGACGTTGAGTCTGAGGATATATGAAAAGGAAGGTTTTTGTTATTATTGACATAGTTTATGAAACAGTTAAAAAACAAATTATGATAAATATTTTTTTATACCATTGTAGATTTACTCGACAATTCGTATAAAATTTTCATTCGTGTAAAAAATTAAACCATGAATCTATTATATTATTTATTTTGTGAGCAAAACGCTTACATTTTGAACAAAGTAAAACAAAGTGATTAAAAATGATAAAAGTAAATAATATAATGACAGAGTCACGTTACTAGTTCAAGGTTAAAATTCAATCCTTAGTAGTTTCTTTAAGTACAGCCAAAAACCTTTGGAAGTGAGCCAATTTGGCTTGTTATTATCTACGCGCTAACTTCTTACAGTCTTTCATGTAAACATGTTTTGTTGCGTTTCCGCAAATTGTATTTTTTTTAATCAAAACTAGGAAATAATATCTCAGCCTTTGTTATAATAATTAATTAACGTGTATTTATACGTGAGAAAGCAAGCATTATAAATAAAGTAGAAAGACGTGTGTGAGCACGATGCTCTCACTGTTTCAAATATTTTTTATGAAGGTTCGATTACATTAAAGCACGCAGTCTCTCCCGTGACCATGATTGCTGTAAAGCATTCAAAACACGGGAGCCAAAAATCGAAATAATTCCGCGAAATCAAAAATATAGTTTTATTTTAAATGTCAAATATTTACGTAAATGATAAATCTAAGGAAGTATTAAGAATAAAACTGTTAGTAATCACTACGAATGTGAATGCAGTTATTTTCAGTGTAATTTACACGATTTTGGTCTGTATAGTTAGGACCTAATGCCTATAGGGGATATATATACATATGTATTTTTATTTTTAATTCATTGTTTACATCATAGTGTTTTTAGAATATACTGTTGTTACTGTACTGTAGAAATGTTTTAATTATTTAAAAAAATATATAATCATAACAGAGAGCTGCTAAAACATTTCCCCATTTTCGGGCGCTTTTGAAATGTCGTCACGACTTATTTTTCTCATCAAACACTGCAAATACAAATGTCAATAATACAAATATGTTGACATAGTTTCTGGCGTCACATTTTGTTTTCAATCAATGGATGCTGCGTTTCGTCATTTTAAAGTACCAGACCTATTTTTCACTTTGATGCGATTTAAAAAAATTCAATTAGGACATGATGGTATAAGGGTTGAACGAACTTTAACGTCTCATTGTTAACTTTTACAGATTAGTAAACATACTTTTGGCTTGACTTAGGTATGTTTAAAGTAATAAAGGTATAAATATATCGCATAGAGGTCACGAACAAAAAATGTAATATATCTTAGACTCTTCTCTTACTCGTGGGTTAGTCATAACAGGTGGACTGTGATAAAAAGCTGTTACGATCAACTTGCTTTTACAATTTTCACTCTAAAGTACTCTATTCAGATATGACATTTTATAGTTGTGTTCAAATATTAATTTATATTATTTATCAATTTTTTTTCATTTGGAATTAAACTAAACTATTCATATCATCACACGAAATTATTACTTATTGCGCTTTCTTTTTAAATTGTTGCGTGTCTAGAGTATATTTATGAATGTCTACTATAAAGTTTCACAATCATATCTTTCGTAAATAAATTCAGTGAACTCACTTGTTGCTAAAAAGAATGCAGACTTCCTAAACTATATAGGAATGTTATTAACATTTTCCGCAAAGTTTTACAGCTATTTCTCTTTACAGAAAGACGAAGTGTACCTGAACTTGGTGCTGGAGTACATACCAGAGACAGTGTACAAAGTTGCACGTCACTACTCCAAAGATGAACAAACCATACCAATTAGTTTTATAAAGGTAACACGTGTATCCGAGAAACACTGGACAAATATAATTTATCATAATCTGGATTCTAGTTTATTATATATGGTATAAGATTTCAATTAAGAAAAGGAAATAAAAATAAGTGAGGGAGAAAATTTATATGGTTATGGTGCTATCTATCGATTTCTCGGCTACAAATAGATAGCACCATGACTATATGACGGGAATTACGGGAAATACTGTAGAAATTTCAAAGGCATTTTCGAAAAGCGGTTGGATAGATAATTTAGATAAAAAAGATGTAGATTTTTAACCAGAAAAAAAACTTAAAAGGTATTAATGGTAGAAGAAAAGCCGTAATTTTAAATATTATGAATAAACTATGCCAATTTTCCTTACAATCTGATAGCATTATTGAAATGTAACACAACCTGTCCCTAGCTATACATGTACCAGCTGTTCAGAAGTCTAGCGTACATCCATTCGCTGGGCATCTGCCACCGGGATATCAAGCCGCAGAACCTGCTGCTGGACCCCAAGACGGGCGTGCTCAAGCTGTGCGACTTCGGCTCGGCCAAGCACCTGGTGCGCGGCGAGCCCAACGTCTCGTATATCTGTTCGCGCTACTACCGTGCGCCCGAGTTGATATTCGGCGCTATCGATTATACTACTAAGATTGGTGAGCCTTTTGTTTATTTATGTACATATGTTGTTGTAATAGAATTTTGGAAATTCTGTTTTTCTTTTTTGGGAATTATGTTGGTTTATTAATTTAGGGTAACCAACAGATCATACACTTAAATCGTGCAAGACCTACATGTCTAAATTTTACAATTAGTAAAGGTTGTTTTACTTAAAGGCTACCAGGATAAGCGAAAACATAAAGTTTAAGTTTATTTATGCATGTAACTCCAGAATTGCACGGATTATAAACGAAGTCTAAGGAAAATCTAGAAAGTAATAGTATTTAAGAAACTAGAATGAATTGCGATTGACGTAATTACATGATCATTTTTAGTTAAAAATTAAAAAATAAGTAATAAGTATGACGTTTTCAGACGTATGGAGCGCGGGTTGCGTGGTGGCAGAGCTTCTCCTCGGACAGCCGATATTCCCGGGAGATTCGGGCGTCGACCAACTCGTGGAAATCATCAAGGCTAGTATATTTATATTTCAGAAATGGATACTTTTTGTAAAAGCTTGTATCATTTTTTTTTTCAAGATATTTGTAATGCCTAAGAAATAGACCAATTTTTTTTTTATCCTGGGGTAAATTAAAAAAGTTTTTTTTGTGTAATCTTTTTAGTTATATAAAGGTTTGATAGACTTTTTAATTATAATAAAATATGCTTAATTCTACACAGGTCTTAGGTACTCCAACACGAGAACAAATACGCGAGATGAATCCGAACTACACAGAATTCAAGTTTCCACAAATTAAAAGTCATCCTTGGGCAAAGGTAACACAATTTTCAACTACAAAAATATATTTCAAATTTTATATTATTTGCTAGTATCGCACTACTTCTATTAAGCATTACAATGCTTGTATTATTATTTATGAATATATTAAAAATTATATAAGTATTTTATTAGCGTTTAATATTTATATATTCTTTCAAACTCAAATCACTAATGATTTTCAATAAACACAATATTTCAATACAAAGTAATACTTTCTTATATTTACTCGAATATTTGACAATTTAAATAAATCTATCTTTTCGGATTTTTTCGCGAATTTATTTTGATTTATGGTTCCCGGCGTTTTAAATGCTTTACAGCAATCATTTTACAAAAAAGAAAATAAATTAGCGAAAAAATCCAAATAGATAGTTTTATTTAAAATGCCAATACAAAGTCTTTAAAATATAAGTATTAGAATTTTTGGGGCCAAATATTTTCGAGTATGTTTATAATCCCGCCCCATTACAGTTTATGTTGGAGAGAATGACGATGCCCAAGTCTGCCACTGACCACCAGCGCATCCGAGTAAGATACCGCTAACACGAACTGAGTGCCTTTATTCTTTTAAATACTACGATATTACACAACTCTTTCAATTTTTTTTCTTTCAATAGAAATTAATTCATACTTTTATTTTTTTATATCATCAATACAAGTTTTTATTCATTTTAGACTGATAATTTTATTATATAAAAAAATTATAACTATAGGATTAATACGTAATATTGAGGTTATTTGAAAGTCAATATTTTATTTATCTTTGGATATTGTTATATTATATTTGATGTTTATATTTCAATGAAGGCATTTGGTGGTGAAATTTGTTTGCAATACATTACTATTTTTAAAAACAAGTTATACAAAATAAAGTTAATTAATTTATAATAAATCTTAAGCCGGATTAATCTTAGTAACGTAATGCAATTAAATTTGTCGGTCGGTTAACGGTTATAGCCTTCGGCATGAGTTAACTAGAGGTCACGACTAATTGGTTTACCGCAAATTTAAACCTATTGCGTATTGTTTGTTGGTGTTCAGTGTGCATACTTGCTATAGAGTATATGACTGCGATTTTTCAACGTATTACAGATGGCAGTAAACTATGTTCCTCTTACACATTTTAGTTATGAAAAAAGCGTTGATATAATTTAAATTTTATATACCTATATATTTTTTAAAAGTAGTCATATGCCCTGTGCTATGTGTGTAGTGTTTTTAAATATACAGACTTTTCATCGCCCTTCGCATATCGCCGCCTATAAACATCTAACCAATAACATTGTAAATTTGTATTGATTTTGGCTATCAACAGAATTATTTGCGTTTCTTATCATCCATCACGCTAACAACAAAATTACACATAGTGTGTACTTATGTCATGATTAAATGTATAAAATGATTTTTGTCGCATATATATAAAATTTACTCATGGTTAATATTTAATATGATTGAATTTATATTTTACATTAATTAATAATTAAAAATCGATCATAAGAATTAATAGAACTGTTGATTATATTGTATGTTCTTTGATTAATTATTATCATTACAGTAGAAAAACTATTTATTTGCCTGACATTACAAAAATTAGTTACTATTAATAGGAAAATAGTATACATATAAGTTAAAAATAAATATGGTGGATATATATAGTATATAAAGCCTCTTTCTATTGGTGAAAACCGTATGAAAATCAGTACTGCCGTCATAATAAAGAAGGTCCTAACAATTTGATCAAAAATGATTTAATTGCAGATTTGGAATCTGCAAAAAAATGCTACTTGATAGTTTTACTCATAAAGCTCTAAGTCTTATGAATCCGGAGATACCATAACTATTTTCATCGTAATTACGTCAAAAATAAGTAGTAAGAAAAAACTTTAAATATCACGAAATCACCCTTGACGAAGTTGCGGCTTTCTTTTTTATGACGACATAGTACACTTCAATGTATTAACGCGTGTGTGTGTGTGCGCGTGCGTACAGGTTTTCCGCGCGTGCACGCCGCCGGACGCGATCTCGCTGGTGTCGCGGCTGCTGGAGTACACGCCGGGCGCGCGGCTGTCGCCGCTGCAGGCGTGCGCGCACAGCTTCTTCGACGAGCTGCGCGAGCCGCACGCGCGGCTGCCCAACGGCCGCCCGCTGCCGCCGCTGTTCAACTTCACCGAGTACGAGCTGGCCATACAGCCCTCGCTCAACGACTTCCTCAAGCCGCGCGCCGCGCCCGCGCCCGACGCCGCGCCCGCCGCGCCCTCCGGCGGCTCCGGAACGCCCGCCGCTGAACACGACGCCCAAGGTATGTTCTATTGAATGAAGGAAGTAATTACACTGCATAGAGACCAAACTGCAAATAATAAAAAAAGAACATTGACAACATACATTGTACAAATATAAATAGCGAGGTCACTTAGCCTATGTTGGACATACATTTTTGATGAAAGACTTAGATGGATCATTTCCCTCAGAGAATCCTAGGAACAATAGAGATAACTATAAATACAAAGTTCACTTAAAACTTTGTATATGTAACTCGAATTAGCTTTATCTGATGATGATGGGTAGAGTCATGAGATGGATAATGGATTTTTTTAATAAACTCAAATATAAGGTTAATTCGTTTCAATGAATCATATACCAGTGACGTAACTAATATTCGCATTCGTTAAGATTGCCATATTTTTTGCCATTCGCATTCGTATTCGCAAGAAACACTGCAAATATTTGGCAAATGTACATATTTGCCAAACAAAAAGGGAATAATATTACCTATATTGAATGTATGGATATGGAATGATAATACATCTGTGTTTTACTCATGTTTTTATATCACTTTGTCACTTTTGAATAGGTAGTTTGACAAAATTCTATAATACTAAACTAACCCTGTCTGTTTAACATTTTGCGCGCGCTTTATTTGAAAGCCAAGTATTTACGAATATTGCAGATGAATATTCGCATTCACATTCGCGTTTGCGAATGTTAATGCCTCCACGACCGCGGACACGCCGGCGTGTCAGTTAACAATAGATTTCTTAGAATTTTAATTAATTTCTTAGAAATTTACCTGGAGGTGTAAAAAAACGAAATTTCGTTTACATACTATCATATACCTACAATACAATAAAACAATGGTCAAATGCATAACTTTAGCTTTTTTTTATATATTGCTTCTTTACATAATTAATTGTAACATTATTTTTATTATATGGTCTGCATATTTTAATTATGATATGAAATTTGGCTTCAATATAAAGCCAAGACAAATGTGGTAATTTTTTGTATAAAAATTATGAGTAAACAAAATCTTATGTATGGACTGATTTTTCGACAGGCGGTCGCGCATTTGCAATAGTAAGCCAAAAACATTTATTATGGCACTGCTTACTCTAACTTCACACTGAAGCACGTAAACTTACTATTCTAGATGACACGCATCTATTTGCGTAAGGAATAACATTACGTTGAAACAACTGGTTTTGGGTGAAATTGAGTATACAGATAGACTAATGACCTGAACCTAAAGTGACACATAGGACCACACTGCTGCTAGGCACCTAGGGACCCATTCAACCATTCAAACAAAGCAAGAGTAATTTGCTAGTACATATACACATAATAATAACTAAACTAAAGGAAAACAAAAACAAATCTTATCTCTCGGGAACCGTATATTTTTCTGGGATAAAAAGTATCCTATGCGTTATTCCAGACTATAATCTATCTCTGTGCCAAATTTCATCCAGATCTGTTCAGCCGTTCTGGTGTGAAAGAGTAACAAACATCCATACATATTCACAAACTTTCACGCTTATACATTCTATACATATAATATGTACATACATACATATAATAAAAGTGTAACTGATCGCTGTCTGAACATGGAAGATATTTGAGAATAACTATCATTGGGGATCTTTATTTACGCAATAGAACCCAAAACAATGATTTTTAGATTTTTTGTCTGTTTGTCTGTGTGATTGTGCGCGCTAATCTCAGAAAAAGCTTAATCGATTTGGATGTGATTTTCACTAATATATTGTAGTAAGCTTCACTTACCATTTAGTATTTGATTTTATTTCAATCGGATCATAAATTAAAAAGCTACGTCAATTTAAAGAATCACCTAGGAATGAACCCGAGCGGAGCAAGGGTGAGTTGCTAGTTTATAATATTTATACAGATATAATGTTTGTTCCAGGTGAGAACGCAGCGAGCGGGCCGAGCGGCGGGTCGCCGGGCGCGTCGTAGGCGTCCGCGCTCCGCCTGCCGCCGACTGCCCGCGCCGCACGCGCTCGTGCCGCCACACTCACACACACAACCCAACCATACTCAATGTCAATGACCTGTCGTACACATGTTATACCCTCTAGTGTGAGTGTCCAGCTTACGCTTCTAACATTGAATGTCGCATTCGAACAACACTATAGAGGAACCGTTCAGAGCCAGTTCATTTCTTTCGACAATTACGACAATATGATTACTAAATTGTATCATTGATATATTATATATAAAGTGGACTTTAATCTTTGAATGATTCTTACGCAGTGCTTTTTCCGATGCGACGGTTTTCAATGGACGTTTATAGTTAGTATTCGGCGTATTTGTTGATACGGCCCAACGGACGCGCCGAATGTAGCGAACAATAGTAAGATAGAACGGACAGTTCACAGTATAACGCAGCGGGCGAGGCCGGGCCGGGTGGATGCGACGTAGCCCGCAGCTTCCAGCATTCAGAGATCTTACATCTCTTATATCGAGAGTCGGTCGTATGCTAATTAATTAGTGATAGTAATTTTCGTGTTGGCCATCGGGAAAATTAAATGCATAATAGGTGTTTTCGGCGAGTAATCGTGTGATACTGTAGCGTAATTGTCGATAAGGCTTGAGCTGTCATAGTCGGTAAGAAGGGTAAATCCGCCGTATGTAGATTCTAAACCGTCGCAATGTGATTACTTTGTACTTTTGTAAGCTCAAATTCCTTTGTCGTGTACATACATTAACGCTGTGTTTTTAAATATAAATTTCGTAGCGATGGGATGGAACCATGGCGCGTACGTTTTTAACCGTAAATATTGACGATAAGATTTCCTGGATTGTTCTGGAAGTAGTCACATGGTCACAGCGCGACGCGGGCGGCGCGGGGGGCGGTAGGCTTAGCGTGTTCAGTGTACTCCGTATTAGCGTAGCAGTAGAGCCGAGCATTCTTCGACGATAACTTGCAGATCGAGGCATTTTGTTGCATATGAAAAGCATACTTGTAAATTTTTATAACTAGCGTAAACTGATCTCTCATGATAATATTAATATTTAATGATATTTCAGACTATTATGTATTTGTATAAACAATTCGAAAGATATAAATTTTAGATTTACTACATTATAAATATTCTTTTATTTGGGGCAACTCTTAGTACTTTTGTGTCGCATTGTACCTCCCTCATCTTTCTTATCCAGCGCTGAGTAAATGTAATGTATTTTGTAAGCACTGTCAGTGTCCTATTGTAATGTCATAGTTTTTTCTATAATATTGTATTCTATATTCGATAAATAATATTTCAGCTATGTAAAAATCTTCTCTGAGAACACCTTAATTAATAGTAGTCAAGTACGAGAACGATGTTAAAATTTGTCATAGTTTTAAGTATTTTGGGCAATTTCATTTTGCACTTCAAATTGACATACAGTTATAAGGGGAAAGATATTGTTCGCCTCTAAATGTAGAGCGTGAAAGGTTTTATTGATGGTTTAGATTTAGCTTGAGATATCGTCGAATTCATCGGAGCACCTAATAATTATTCGTGGCGAGTTTGTATGAGCGCTTGATCCGGACTATGTCCCAACTCATTCTTACAAATAACACAGAGGCATTCACGCACTCGGCTGCGTGCTAACGTAATACAAAAAAAATCGCTCACCTAAAAACGTTAACACAAATTTGGCCCTTGTATCGTATATGATATACGCTCGTATTATTACATATTTGTATGTACTAATTACTTATAAATTTTTAGTATGTTAAGAGATTTAACGCGCTCGGCGCACGTTTTCAAATCACATAGTGGAGAGCTTAGTTGTGGTCCCTGCGGCTATTCATTTGCTGGCACATCTTTATAATTCGTGTAAATATATTATTATTATTATCTTTATGGTATGACTCTGATAAAGTTAATCGGTAGAGAGCGGTGGCTCGCGCTTACTGCCCCGCAGTCCGCCAACGTGCTGTCGGGAGCAGTAAGATATTACGATAGTTTAGATACGCATATTTTATTAAGTCTATCTAATATGAATTTTGTAATCGGTGTTCTTGTGCTTCTAAAGACCCTCTGTGTAAAAAGTTAAGAGAAGATACTAGTGACCTGAATGTTTGAAGCGATGTTATCGGAACGTCTTCATGCCACTGAATTCTCACTTTCACGATTTGCGTGCACGTTTACTAAACGAGAATTTCCCGTAAAACATTACTTCGAAATGGGGTTGACCTATATAAATTATTTAGAAAAAGAGTTTTCTTATTGCTAGTACTGTAATATTAAATTAAATAGTGAGTGAAATTTGTATTTTGTTTTAATTTGTTTTACTGAATTTGAATACATCGTAACACTCATATCGTTGTTAGTTATGAATGAATAACATAATTATAAAAGTAAATATTAAATGAATAGTAAGCATGGCTTTTTATTTTATCATTAATTTAGTGTTATGTCCCTATTGCATGTTTGAATTCTAAGTTTTTTGTTTTTGTTAGTCTGAGAGTTCAGGACGAAACAGTATATTTGTGTAGGATATTAATGTTCACACAGCAAATTGGAAACAAAACAACTTAGAAATGATAATCTTGAGAAATCCTTTTTAACATGTTAATGGGCATAAATATAAAAATGACAATGTTTTGGGTGGTAATGAGTCTTAAATTTTAGTTATATTTCTAAAATATTCTAAAATTATATTGTAATTGGGCACGCGGGAAATTGATAATGTATTCAGTAAATTTATCTGAAGTGGGGGTAATTATTGAAGATAATAAAGAAAATGATGAGGAAAAACCGAAAAGCAAAACGGTACTAGTACTGGTATGAGTCTAACAGATAAATTAGATAATCATGATTCATGAGAAGCAAATTCCTTCGATGTATACAATGTATAAACTAAGATGAATAGCTATTGCCATTGTTGCACTTTGTGTTAGAAATACTTTAAAATAATAAAGTTAACTATTTAGACCTCTTCGGACTTTTATTCAAATTCATTAACACTTCAATAAGTAATTCAGTAATGCAATAATTAAAATAATTTTTAATTAAGTTTTCATTTAAATTATTTCTTTAATAATTTCTAAAATATACCAAATGTTACATAAATATTGCGAGACATTATATTGATTATTATGGTATTAGATTAGCTGTTGTAAGATTTTCTTTTATCGGAAAAAGTTATCTCGTCCAGAACATGCATCCGTACCAAGTTTCTCTTTACCCCTTTAGGGGATGATTTACGAAAAAAATCAAATAAATATATTTATAATTTTTTATCCTAAAGTTAAACACCACTTTCTGTGTATTTTACATTAGGTATGACAGAGTTTCATACAATCTTTAATCCCCTATTTTACACTTAGGGAATGAATTTCGAAAATTTAAAAACCCGGCTAAGTGCGAGTCGGACTCGCGCACGAAGGGTTCCGTATCATTATCTATGAAAGCCCCAAAAAAGCACGTTTGTTGTATGGGAGCGCCTCTTAAATATTTGTTAATTTTAATTTAATTATTTATTTTTAATTGTTAAAAAAAAAATTGAATTTATTAATTTCAATATTTAAATTCAAAATTATTTTTTAACAAAATTTGAATATTATACTTATTAGTTTTGAAGTATTAATACGGAATATTTATTTCGTTGAAGCGTGATGCCGAATAATTTAAAAGACGTCATTTCCTCTCGTATGAAAATTTGTTAGCCGATTATTAATACACTGCTATAATTAATAAAAAAATCAGCTGACAGTAAGTCGAGGGAAACCTCGTCAGCTGATGCATTTAAATAGGCGATAGATGCTCCCGCCTAACTCCTGCGTTATGACTTTCAAAGTATCAGCTGACGGTCTTTCCACTGAGATAGAGCCAACTGGCATGTATATTTATCCATATAAATTTTCAGCTGAGAGGAAATCATTGAAAGTTTATTTTATTTATTTCGTGTTCGAGCGACCAGCTGGCGTATAAGTAATTCACCATGTTATAGTCAGCTGATTGTTTTTTTCCTCGAGATATTGGGTTAGCAACAATTTAACAAATTTTCAGGTAAGAGGAAAAACAATTCAAATTTTTTTTCGTGCGGGGGCTACCGCCGCCACGGAGCCATAGCTGACGTTCACGAAGCTTTATGAGATTATTGAGAGGAAATAATTGACCTTTGTACCTGGCTCCCGGACCATAAGGAACGCTTATTTAAAAGGATATTTTGCTTAGTTTAATGATGTAGTCTTATCTTGTGGATAAGCGATTTGGTCGTCTTCCATGTTTCACATCATTCGTCATCCGTCCATCCGTCCGACATCCATCCTTACAGCAGAACTAACTTTACCAGAGAATCAAGGAGAAAGATCTTATGCGCCTTGATATGACATTAGTTTTTCACGATATCATTTTCAGGGTCATAAAAACTTTATTAATTTAAACCTACTATATTTTGACAGAAAGGATGTAGACTTAAAGAATACATCAATAGTAAAGTATTCGATAGGTACGAGAGGAGATCATGAGTTGTATTTGTTGGAAACGACATTTCGGTGGTTCGAAATAATAGGTAAACTCGGCGCGGCGAACCTTGATGATTGATCCCTATGACAGTTCGTGTTAGTGATGGCCGATGGGTCGTGCACACGACCAAACCACGACCAAAGACACGACTCGTGTCTTTGGTCGTGTCGATAATTTTTTTTTTAGACAAAGGCGTGGCTTGCATTCAGCTACGTTGGTAAACATGTTTTAAAAACTATTATAATGTGCATTTTAATGTCCATTATGTTATTGTTGTATTAGCCCAAGCGCCGGGGAGTTTTTTTTGCAATGTATTAGACCTGGTATATTGTTTTTGAGGTAGTTATTGGAATCCTAGACAATACCACCCAGACCTCAGTAACCGATTTCTGTAGTGCAGTGCCCTATGGCATTTGAAGGTGTAAAACAAAACGTTTCAATAGAAATATGAATACCCATATAAAAAAATATACGCTTCAACTGAATTGACATATATTCTGGTATAAATTTTATTTAATAACTAGCATTGCCCGCGGCTCCGCCCGCGTTCAGATGACCAAAAACCAAATTCTTAGTATATGCATTTTTTCTCAGAAATGAGAAATTTTCCCGCGGTAAAAAGTATCCTATATGTTGATCCGGATAACTAGCTATCACCATACCAAATTTCATCAAAATCCCTCCAGTGGTTTTTCTGTGATGTGGTAACAGACAGACAGACAAAAATTCTAAAATAAAAGAACGCCAAAGATTGGCATTTAATTGAAAAATCACGGTCGTAATGTAATAGGCCTCTCATACCAAAAAGAAAATGCTTATGACAATCATAGACGAATAATAACAATAAGTAAGTTCTCTCCTTCATTTATAGCGAAACTGGCAGAATGTATTGCGTCTGTTAGTGCAACTGTAACCAATAGAGAAAAAAAGTCAGTTTTGTTTTCATCTGTCAAATGTCACATTGACATAAGAGTACTTGTTCATTGTTGTATCACTAGACACTATTTAGTATTTATTATTTGTATACTTACTATAAATATAATATAAAAAAAATAATTATTAAAGGAAAATGAGTTATTTGGTATCTATTATATGATGAAATGAGAATTTGCCAACTATCTTTTAAGTATTTTCGGATATTTACCAGTTGAAACCTAGTATTTATTTGGATATTCTATTTAAAATATTTTAATATACCAAAATGCATGAGGCATATGAGGTATCACATTTGCTTAATGCAACAGTGCAAATAGAAGCCATTGCAGCTTATGGTAGGTTATCGTAATTAAATAAAGTATTTTTTGAAACAATAATTATACTAAATTACCAAATTATTAAACTTTACTTTGGTTTAAGATGGAAATCTGTTTTTGGGGACGAGACAAGGGCATCTATTAATGTATTCTTTATCTTCAACCAATGGTAATCAAAAATATGAACTACAATTGCTTAGGTACTGTAAAAATTTTAGTAAGAAACCTATTCAACAAATTGAAGTAGTACCAGGTGAGTTCATACGTTGTTAAAAATTAAATAACTGCATTTAAGCTAATAAATATACAAATTACATAAATATTATATAATATTTTTTACCTTTCATAGAAGACAACTTGCTGCTATGTCTTACTGATAATATTTTATCATCATATGATATAAATGGAGTCAACTTCCCACTAATAAAAACCTTTTCTGAAACAAAAGGAGCATCACTTTTTGCATTAGATAATAAGGTATAAACATGTGTTTTTATATAATGTAATAGTTGCAAGTCTTTTCCATTTGTTATTTTTCTGCTTTTTCAACATTTTTAACAATATAATAAAACAAAAAAAAGTTTTAGTTAAAGTTCATATTAGTAACAATCTATTATTTATGTTGTTTCTTCCACATATATTGTTTATTTGAGTAATAAATTATTATAATTGGTATTATATTTTGCTAGTAATGTATATTTTTCCATAATCCATTAATCCAAAGTTCAAAAGTTAGTAAACTGAATATAGTGTAATGAAGTTTGATTTTTTATCTTATTTATGTCAAGTCTAAACTCTAAATATACTATAATAATATATAGCATAAAAATTCTAAATATAATATTTCAAAAAATATTACAACAAAACTTGAGTAATTTTATTATTATTATTTTCAGTCTGCAACATCAATGACTGGTGAATCTAACTCTGTAGTACACTTGTGTGTAGCTGTACGAAGGAAATTACAACTTTATTATGGAAAAAATGGTGAATTTAAGAAACATCTATTTGACTTTACTATACCTGATGTCCCTAAAGTAATGGCTTGGGGTCAACAATACTTATGTGTTGGATTTAAAGGAGAATACACTTTGTTTGATGTTAGTATTTTACAGACCTTTTTTAAATTTAAGTAATGTGCTATATATATATATTGACGACACATTTGGCTCAGTTAGTAGTGACCTTACTTGTTGTGCCAGCGGCCGCGGGTTCGATTCCCGCTGGGGGCATTCATTTGTGTTTATATTTATAATATGTATGTATTCAAAGTTTTATATGTGTAGTGTATCAACTATCTGATATCCATAACACAAGCCTCGCTTACCATGGAACTAGATGGAGCTGTGTGTTAATGTCTCAATTAAAAAAAAAAGTATATTTTTGTCTCTTTTATATCAAACACTGTTCCTTTTTTCTAATAAAAGTAGAATGTAATAAGTTATTCAAAATAATCTACTATACATAGTTTGCAAACCATTACACTCTTAAGCAAAAGCCTCTCTTATTGTATAGTCTAGTTAAATCAGTTATCAAGTCTATAGTTTCAACAACACAATAGTTTCTATAGGATCGTCTAGCTTGCCACACTATTAAATCCTTAGTGTAGATGCTTTTTTTGTAAAATTATAAATGTAATCCATAACTTCATATTTACTGAGAAAATGTTCAAACTTATTTGTTTTTATTATTTACTTAGTCATTTTTTAAATTATAAAATATTTTATAAGTGTGCATGAAATATGCAAATTGAAAAAAAAACAATTTCAGTAACTTTGACCATTTGTGATCTTAGTAAAATCTTGCTATGTAATGGATTTAGCCATTATTACAAAATGGAAATTTAATTATTTAAGAATGCTTTATTTCCTTTTCTTTTATTTATTTGTAAAATCTGATTATATATCTATCGGATTTTTTATTTTTTATTTTTGTTTTTATTTAATTTCATTATCATCATCGTTAAATCAATATACATTTATAGGTATAACAGATGCCATCAGTTGACATTTCACATAAAGTAATTTTTCTTTCTCTGTGAATCAATGTGAATTATTTTATTCATTTAATTTACTAAATTAAATTATTAAAATGTAGTTTTTTTTTATATAGCAAAACAACCCTTTTATCAAATAGGTACAATACAATATAGTCTGGCCATAAATACTGTTACAATTAAAAATAAACAAAATATTACATTTGAATTTGGAATCTGTCATTTTTATATGATTGTTCATTGTGTTTTCCCATTTTCGCGCCAATACGTTGTAAAGTATTTTGTGATATGAAAATGGAGTGGGGGTTTAAAGAGAACCGAATCGCTGTGATTGCATTACACAAAGTAGGTATGGAGTCTAATACAATTTTATGCTCTAAGCTCTAAGGAAGCTTCCCAATTAGTCAACAGAGTACAATGTGGGCAATATCCGACTTCAGTTATGGTTTGAGGGGTGTTAGCTATTATGAAGGAGTGACTGAGCCATATTTTTGTGAAAAAGGTATCAAAACATTGCCACAAGTGTATCAAGATACCATTCTTGAGAGGATAGTTAAGCCCCTCAACAACACCATGTTCAATAACCAAGAAAGGTCCTTTCAGCAAGGCTCGGCGCCGGGTTGTAAAGCTCGATCCACGCAATCTTGGTTTGAAACCCACGTTCCGGACTTCATCAGAGCTGAAGACTGGCCGTCATGTAGTCCCGATATTAATCCGCTGGATTATGATTTATGGTCAGTTTTAGAGAGTATGGCTTGCTCTAAATGCCATGATAATTTGGAGTCCCTAAAACAATCCATACAATTGGCAGTGAAGAATTTTCCCATGGAAATAGTGCGTGCTTCTATTGATAACTGGCCTCAATGTTTGAGGAATGTATTGCAGCCAATGGAGATCATTTCGAATAGATTTTATTTATTTTTAATGTTTTTATATTAATGTATTAAAGTAATACACTGTAATAGTAATAAATGTCACATGCAATAAAAAAATCTTTTTTTTCTTTGTAACAATATTTAGGGCAAGACTATGTTTATAACACAGTCCAACATACACAATAAAATAAATTCGTATTACACATAACAAATAAAATGTAAGAGAAAACTGAGTAAACTTTTACTAATTTCCTTTGGTTGATTTTAAAGCAAGTATTAATATGTCAAAGCAAATGATATCATTTATTTGTATATATTCTTTCAGTTATCATCACGTGATCCAAAAGAACTATTTCCGACCAGCAGTTCAAAATCATTAGAACCTACAATTGCTAAATATTCAGAAACATCTTTTTTACTTGGTCGCGATAACACTTCAGTTCTGGTGGAGGAAGCTCAGGAAATTGAGATAAAGAAGACTATCAAGTGGAGAGAGGCACCAATAGCTGTTGGTAAAATAAATAGTTATTTCTAATTAATATTTTACTGAATTACAAAAATGTTTTCGCTTATAAAAAAATCTTTTCATGGGCACTTAAAGAATTGTTTACATCTGCCGGTCATTTCCAAATGTTATACTTCTCAAATGTTACTTAAATCTTCTTCTTCTTTCACGACTTTTTCCGCACTTAGGTAATATTATTATTATTGCCCGTTCGTGAACTTGTGTATGTGCGTTATTCTTTCCACCCCAGGGGTCCCAGCAGTCTAGAAGGCTGCCGGTGCTCTGGTTTTCTGGACATGAACTCCTGAGGCTTAGTTTTTCTGCGCGTAGGTGTTCTATTTCGCTTCATTTAAACAAGGTGTTGGCTGGAATTCATCCCGTTGAAGGCATGCTCGACTCTGAACAGGGTGTGGTGTGTGCTTCCCATAGTGTGCCTACTCTCTTTTTGATTAAATCGTGTAGCCAGGATTTGTAAACAGGCACATCCAGCTTGTATCACTGAGTTGTTCTTACCCCAGTGGTGGCTAGTTTTTATGCATCTTGCAACAGCTAGGGTAGCCTTTCGTAGGAACATCCAAAGCTCATTCTGGATCGTGCATAGTTCTGTTCTAGGCCTCTAGATATCTCCAGACAGGTGTACGTTAGGGATGCACGTACCACATTTGTGTAGAGCCAATTCCTTATTTTGATAGTGGTAATACATAAAAATCACTGGCAGTCAAGACCGGTGAATTAGGGGGATGTTCGACAACTTCAAAGTCAGTATCTTGCATTGCTGCCATGGCAACGGCAGAAAAACAAGGCGCACACCTTGTTTTTTTTCAGAGTTTTCCTCAACGTTTTGCACGCATTTAGTAACACAATCTATATATTTCTTTTACGTACAGACTTCCTTACATAACTTACAGTTATTTATCCATGATCATGTTATTCATCTATTACAACTCCTTGAGCTTCCCAAAAAACTTTAATTTTTTTTAATTTCTTTGGGGCTGGGTATGGTCTTTTCCATACCATTAATAATTATTTCATCCACACTTATGAACCGTATACTTTGTCATTCGCAAATGATTTTGTAAACTGCAATGAACACTTCTTATCGACATCATTAACTCTTCAGCGATAAAATACGTTTTATCGTCGTGTAACAGTACGCTGTTACACGACGATAATCAAAGACAATGATTTTACCTTTTTTAACCATTTCCTGAGTAACAGACAGGGAAGCCGAATATGGCGCGGCATTCTCTTTTGAAAACTGCTTAATAACTCATAAAAAACTTGCTCGGTAGTAAAAATTTTCAAGCTAAAAATATTATACACGTATTTCAATTTTATCCATTTTTGTTTACACGCAACGAAAAGTCATAATCAAATACATGTCACTTTAATCAGCACTATGATGAAAAACTAATAATTGGGCATTTGTTCTGACAGCTAAGTTACCAGTAGGTACTAGAAATTAACTATTTCCTGAAACTACCCTCAATAAGTATATAGTTCTTATCACCTTTTGAACACCCCTCCTATATACAACATTGATATTCATATATAGATTATTCAGAAATATATTAATATTGTTTTATGTTGCAGTATGGGACGAGCCCTTTATTCTAGGTCTTATGCAGGATCAAGTTGTAGTACAGACTGTGGAACCTGCACTCTTTATACAAACACTACCAGACCTTAATAAAGCAAGGTTAATGTATAGGTAAGAATAGCTAACTTAAAAATCAATACAGTAATTTAAAAACAATTTTTTTACAAAGGTGGACTTATCTCTAGAAGAGATCTCTTCCAGCCAACCTATGGTAGTGAAAAATAGTATTATAAACCACGCTAAATTCGTGCAGATGTAGTCATATAAATGATATATAAATACTCAAAAATAAATAGCTAATTAAATATTATATATAATACCATATAATATACACTGCATACTATAGTATATCTTTACAACACAACTAGCGACTCACCCTCGCTTTGCTCGGGTTCGTCCCTAGCTTGCTTCCCCATGCAAACTTTCTTCCCCATTTTCTTCTCCTTTAGGGATGATTCCAGGATAAAAATATATAAATATTCGGATAAAAATATAAAAATATGTAATATATAGATTTCCGAGATGAATATATCTTATGTCCTTCCCAGGGTCTCGAACTATCTTATTACCAAATTTCATCTAAATCGGCTTAGTAGATCCAGAGATTACCCCCTACAACGTCACAAACTCACAAACTCATAAACTTTACCTCTTTATAATATTAGTATAGATAGATTGACGTATAGTATTAGTATTGTATATGAAAAAAAAACATCTTATAGAAATATCACTCAATAGATTACGACACGGTCGCGGTTCTATACCTACGAATATGTTGTATTATCTCTTAAACCATTTGTCTAAATTATATGCAGTAAAAGGGAAAAGTCTTTTGTTTTAAACATTTTAGACGATAAATATACTTATTTTATAAGAATTCAGAATTTTGATATTATGACCAATAAACAATAAAAATCGTCAGTGCTTAAAAGCACCCCCAGATGTTTTTTTACTATTGACTTTAATGGGTGTATTAAATCTTGCAAGTTTGTAACGTACTCGTATATAAATACGTGTAACATATTTATTGATAGCGCAAAAATGAAATATTTGCAATCTATTTCTTGTAAGGCAAAAATATTTTAATATTATTTACAACTAGCAAAACAAAAAGAAATCTATCCCACGGAATACGTGCATTTTTCCGGGATAAAATAGCCTAAGTATGTGTTATTTCAGTCTAGAATCTATCTCTGTGCCAAATTTCATCCAAATTCGTTCAGCCGTTTTGGCGTGATTGATTAACAAACATCTATCCAAACTTTCGCATTTATAATATTAAAGGGATAATATATTAATTAATATATTTAAATAATAAGATGGTTAATATATTTAAATGATAGGGATATATTCTGTGAATATTTATTAAATTTTTATCAATGTATTTTTTTCTGAGGTTTAGGATGTTCTACACGCTTCACTATTTATCTGTTTAAGAGTGTTATAGAATTTAGTAATTGCTAAGAGACAAATCTTTATAAATAATGCTGATTATTATTATTATTATTTATTATCGAGTATAGATGCAAGCGCGGCTTGATATTCGTGTCGTCAGTGGGGCAGGTGTGGTGTCTGAGCTCGGCGGACGTCACCAAGCAGCGTCAGCAACTCTTGAAGGATAAACATTTCCAGATTGCCATTGACTTGACGGTGAGAAATTCTATTACCTGTTAATATTACGTTATTTTATATCTATATGCTCGTATTATATAAAAATCAATTGCCGTTCGTTATTCGCGCTAACCTTCGCTGAAAACCTTAGGGATATTGTGAAAATACAGATAATGGTAGACAATGGTAAAACCTGTATGTATACAAGTAGTACGTGTAAATGCATTTCCCAACATTAAAAAAGAAAAGGGGATGTCACCAAAATTGTTGGTGCATCTGCTTCTTCACATTAAGCTACTACTAATCTTTAAATTATTCACTTTATAATTTTTGTTCATATCTTATCGTCTTTTCTTTGAGGAAATCAAAATTAAACACGGATTTTATTTATATATTTTTATTTCTTTTACTTTTTCTATATAGTTTCCTTCATGGCAGGCGCCAAGCGCGGATCCAGGGGGGGGGGTCATGGAGGTCATGACCCCCCCCCAAGCCAAATATACTTTTTAGAGAAGTTTGAAGTCTAAGAAAGGAAGGAATAAACGGATAAACATTCCAATTAAAAAAAATGGTTATTATATGTATTTTGAAGATTATATCCCCCTAGTTTCATGAATATCAAAAAGTTTTTGCAGAAATCTATATACAAATAATTAAATTAAATATAATCTATATAAAATAATAATTTAAGGAAACAAAAACAATGTTAATTCCACAAAAAGCGATAAATCATAGGTGTAGACTGTATAAGAAAAATCAATTATTATTTAATACAGAAATAATAAATAATTATTGAAGCCTCTAAACCGAAATAACTATTTTTAAGTTATCTTAACATATTGAAATTCTTACTTCGCATACAAAGATTCAAATTAACAAAATTATTAATAAGTTAAATTCGACTTCCCAGATTTGATTATAATTATTATGAGTGAAGGTAATATAAGTATGGTAATAATCGGAATCGAATTTAGATTACACTTTAATGGTCTCAGATATAGTATTAACTTTAACAAATTATTATTATTTTTTAATTTCTAAAAATCCCTTTTTAGTGTATTTCTAAAGTACATAGTATGTTTTGTGAATACAATAAATTTCCTTAAATATAAGAATGTAGGTCTACTGGTTGTGTGTTTGTATTATTCAATCGATTTCCTCTTACATAAAATTAGATGACGTCGTATATTTATTATTAGATATTGTCTGTGGCTTATTGTATAAAATGTTTCCTTGTACCTTTCAGTTTTTACTATTGCAAGATACCTATTTGTGAAAAACATAGAATATCCAGTTTGTGTTAAAAAGTTGCCTTACATTGGAATTAGTATAACTTGAAATTACTTATTTTATTAATAACGCATAATACAGCATCTAAATGAATATAATTTGCTATAATTTTTAATATAAATAATAAAAATACCTTTTAAGTGATATGAGAAATCTTTAATCATTGTCCATACTAATATAATAAATGTGAAAGTGTGTTTTTTTGTTTGTTTGTTTGTCCTTCTTTCGTATCGCAACGGAGTGACAGATTGGCGTGATTTTTTGTGTGGAGATCGTTGGAGGGCTGGAGAGTGACATAGGGTACTTTTTATCGAGGGAGATTATCTATTTCCCACGGGAAAACACGTTATAATACAATTCAAAAAAATGTTTATGATCAGAATTACTTGAAACTTGGTATTAATGCTCCTTAATAAAATTAAATAAATATGCACGTGTTTTAGCATTTTTCGAAATTCATGTTATAAGGGGGTAAAATAGGGGATGAAAGTTTATATGACCTTTTTAGAGATTTTTTTGTAGTTTTAGTGCGAGCGAAGCCGCGGGTTCTGCTAGTTATTACATATGTTAAACACAACAACTAGAGAAAGCCGGATTTGGGCATCAGTATGTACCTATATGTGATTAATACAAATTATATTAATTATTGTTTGTTTAGTTTTTTTAATGAGAACTTTGTTTTAATCACATTCATTTATCAGTACGCGAAGGGATATTGTTAAATTGGGTTAAATATACATACATAGTGAAACTAAACGTTTAAATAATAAAAGTAATTATGTTAAGTTTTAAAGTAAAAAAGCGTCAAGTTAAAATTATTAAGCTTTTGAATGTAAGTACATTCGTAAGTGCTGTATTATGCGTACATTTATTTCAGGTCTTGAATTTTGAATCTTATAACGTAAATAGTTAAATTTCAAAATGCCCCTTAATGACTATCTAAGGAAGGATCTTAAAAATATGATTACTCTATTTGTCACTGTAAGAGTTATTTATTTCGTCTCTATATCCATTAGTTTTTATTAGCAAAAACTAGTATCAACTCTTATATAATCGTGAACGTGATAGACTGATTGACATTTTTATTTTTAACTGTTAGACATTTTGTAAGGGGAAATTGTGTATAATAATATTTACTTTGTTGTACTTACTTTAACAGCAATGGAAACATTGTTCTTGCACACCTATGGTGACTAAAAATATCTTTATGTTTTAAGTATGTGGCTTAATGTTAAGATAAAATTAAAATAATTACAGTCTTTTATAATGTAATATGGAATCATGAACATGTGTTGATAGCAATGTTTTGTTTTTTCAAAATTATTAACTACCTTCTTGTAATAATGGCGTGGTTTTTGACCGCGGCTCTGCTTGCATAATTTATTTATGTATAATTCCACTACTCCATAAACTTCGGTACCTTTCCGTAATAAGGCTATAAAATTTTACAAATCTGACTGGCTGTTTCCGAGATTGGCGCGTTCAGAGAAAAAAATTTATTTTTCTCCAGTTTTATATTATTATTATAGATAATAAATACTACTATTAGTGTTCATTTATATATGAATTCCAAGATTCATCAAACCTTAAAAAAATCTATATTTTCAGAATTTGTCATCATGTTCAGCCGAGGAAAAGAAACAAACTATACATTCTATTCAAATGCTGTTTGCTCTCGAGTTATTCGACAACAAAGAGTATTCGCAATCTATGAGAGAGTTTATCAAACTAAATACCGATCCGGCTGACGTCATCAAGCTGTTCCCGGACTTAGACAATAAGCCCGGCTCTGATAATAATAAAAAATTAAAAGGAAAAGACCTAGAGAATGCACTAAATGCGCTAATTGAATATTTGGTAGAGCTTAGGTCGAAAATAGGTAAAAGTTCAGCGGACGCGAGCGGAAGTAAAGACGAACCGTCTAATCAACGAAACGTTGCTCAGCAATTGGAATTGATTGATACAACGCTTTTGAAGTGCTACTTACAGGTACGTAATTATTATTAGTTGTAATATAAATTGATAATAATAATAGAAAATATCTATCACCTATTATCGATTCGGCTTCAGTTCTGAGAAGTAAAGTATAGTGTTGTTGATAGAAGTTTTATCTAATAGTCTTTTCTACTATTTCGCAAAAGATCATTTGTTTAAAAAACTGTTTAAAAAAAAATGTGCACTGATTGAGGCTCATACTTTGTTGTTATTGTTTAAAATTATCTTTTCGCAATATTAAATGGATGCTAACAGGCATAACAAATATGAAATGTCACGACGATAATAATTAACATAATAAAGTTAGTGAAAAAGAAAGATATCTACACACATTTACACTCAAAATTATTTTTATTTCAAGTTACATTGATAAACCTTTCTACTTTTATTTATTATTAACGTGAAAATTAATGAGGATGTACGTGGGTCGATGTATGTTACTTGTTCATGCAAAAACTATTGATAGGATTTTTAATGAAATTTTATAATAATATAGCTTATATACATTAGAGTAATCGGATCATATTATTTGGATTTGGATGACATTCATGAGTCAGGCGAATGTAAGCCATTAGTAGGCTATAATTTATAAAGATATAGTAATACAAATGAACTTGCCGGAGTCTTGGGAAACGATGGTATTTTATAACTATTAAAAATGAATCACAGTACAAGTAGCTTATCTATACAGATAAATAAAATTGAAGTGTCTGTTTGTAATGTCAAAATAAAAGCGTTTTACTAAATGCATATGAAATTATATACGGTACTTAAGTACCTATTGTTATATTTATAACAAAAACACAATAAAAAAATCTGTCTGCCTGTCTTTCTGTCTGTCTGTTTGTTCCGGATAATATCTGAAACGGCTGGGCTCATTTTGACGGGACTTTCACTAGAAGATAGCTGATGTTATAGGGAGCTACTTTTATTTTAGAAAAAGAATTAGGATTCCGCTGGAAAAAATTAAAACGTACCTAGGGACGAACCCGAGAGAAGTGAGAGTGAATCGCTAGTAATCCTCCATAACCCTAAACCCAATCGTGGGTCAAGTCCTAATAATTTAATAACTCCCAATACCTAAACGGACAGACGAACGACGCGTTCGTAGCCCCCCTCCTGCGGCTCAACAACGTGCGGCTGGACGAGGCGGAGCGCACGCTGCTGGCGCACGGCAAGCACAATGACCTCATCATCCTCTACCAGTACAAGGGGCAGCACACGCGCGCGCTCACGTTGCTGCGGGACCTGGCCAAGCAGGCGGACTCCAGCCTCAAGGGGTATCATAGGACCAAGAATTATTTGCAACATTTAGGTATGTGTTAGGTTAATAATAAAACGTTAGAAAAAGATCAGTTACATAAAACTCACATTTCGACGTAAATCAAAGTTTTATTTTTTAGCAGATAATTTAGGTTGTGCTCTATCTATCATTATCTTTATATATATAATTCTTCTGTGAGTGTGTATGTCACTGAACTTCTCTCAAACGACTGGACCGATTTTGATGAAATTTTTTGTGTGTGTTCAAGGGGATCTGGGAATGGCTTAGATTCACAATTTGAATAATAATTTTCATCAAAAAAATTGTTAAAAAAAGTTTGAAATTTTTAAATTAAAGACGTGTAGACAGGACAACGTCTGTCGGGTCCGCTAGTTATCATATAAATGATGAAAATGAACTTATTAAAGATTTTAAAATTTCAATAAACAAAAAAATTTGAAAAATAAGATGTACTCGTAAATTATGGAATGAAGAAAATCATTCAGCATCCGAAATAGAAATAGATTTTTAATAATAAATTTCGACTTGTAAAATATTACGTAAGAATGGGTAGGGCATGTATAGATTTTCTTAACCCTCCAACCCCCTCCCCCCTTCCCCTGGGGACCTTTACGTAATTAATGAATGGCCCCAGCGTTAAGTGGAAATATCTATTTTATTTTTTACACGTGTCCCTGGATGATGTTTCTGCAAATAAAAAACGGGTTTGATAAATTGGTCTTTCTACTACAAGTAAATAAGTTCATATATACATATATAAAGTCACGTAAGCTTTTTTTTGCTCAGTATATTTAGTTTTTGGATTTATGGGACATCAGTTGCTTGTCAATAGTGATATTGGGATGCACTCAAGTGATGCGTCGGAGGTCAAATTATATTATTTTTTTAACTATAACTTAATTAACCTCATTTTAGGTGCTGAACACATAAATTTAATATTCAAATTCTCCGATTGGATATTAAAGGAGCATCCAGAAGAAGGCTTAAAAATATTTACTGAAGATAAAGTGGAAGTAGAAAACTTGCCTCGTCCCAAAGTATTAGACTTTCTTCTCCGCGAGCACGATTCTCTAGTCATTCCATACTTAGAACATGTCATTCACACATGGAACGATACCAATTCATTATTCCACGACGCTTTAATCAGTATGTATAGAGAAAAGATAACAGATAAAAAAGCAAATTCGACAGAAGAGGAACTGCAACATATAAAATCTAAATTAGTCGCGTTTCTGGAAAAATCTTCGCATTACACGCCGGAAAGGGTGATACTACATTTCCCAAATGATACATTATTCGAAGAGAGAGCTGTTATTTTAGGGAAGCTCGGAAGACACGAACAGGCTTTGGCCATTTATGTTCAAATACTTGGTAAGTATAACTTTCCATTGTAATTCTCATAATTATTATTAGTTTTTAGTGCATCACCATCTTTTAGAATTCTACATGATATTATTATAGTACATAGCCAGTAAGTCCTATATTCGATTCTATTAATTCATTGTATTATTTAGAATACCTTTACAGTTTACTTGCTGTTACTATAATTTAGTAAGTTCGTAATTCTAGTAAGAGTTCACTCTTTTTCATCTCCTTGAAAAAGAAGATTCTCAGTTCAGATATCAACGCAATATCTTTATTTATTTTGAATTTTAATGATTCTATAAGGATTGTTGTAGTTAGAAGGCCTAAACGGAACCCATATAATTACTTCATGTCTGCTCTGTTCGTATGTTATTTATTGTCATAGACGTTTTATTTTTTTATTGGATAGATCTTTAAAGTTGAGATGGCCAAAGGATGGTTAAACAAATGCAAAATTGAGTTTATTTTTCATAGTATATTTGAAAAGTACTGTGAAGTGCGACAACAACTATAAATGTTAAACAAAAATATATTGTAAATAATTTTTAAATTATATTTTAAATTATACCATTTTTTTCCAGGAGATGTAGAAAGAGCCATTAGGTACTGTGAAAACGTAGACGAGAGATCCACCGAAAAAAATGTCGACGTATATGTAATTTTAATGAGGATACTCTTGAACCCTGACCAAAATAACTCCTTAACCGGCCCATTGTCCAACGTCCAGAAACACCCGAACTCGACTGTTCCAGACTTAGAAACGGCTCTAAGTATATTGGAAAAACATGCCAATAAAATATCACCGATAAAGGTTATTATCAAATCTTGCATGATTTGTAATAAAATATTTCAGGACTTAAAATATAAAACGGTTTACCTAATACTTTCTTAGAATTACGCGAATATTTGACTTTTGAAATGGTAAATGCTCCCGTGAACATTATTGCTGTAAAGCATTCGAAACGTCGGGAACCAAAAATCCGAAAAGATAGTTTTATTTAAAATTAAGTTATTATTAATGCTTCCTACTCTGTTTACACTTCTTCACCCTCAAAGAATAAAATTACTAAAAGCTCAAAGGCAGACATCGCAATTTTAGCAATAAATTCGCCGTTTTGTACAATTTTTAATCATATTTTATAATCAATATCTATTATGATTAGTCTTTTGTTTACAATAAAATTCAACAACTAGCGGCTCACCCTCGCTTCGCTCGGGTTCGTCTCTAGGCAAACAAAAACAAGTCTATCCCACGGGAACCGTACATTTTTCCGGAATAAAAAGTAGCCTATTTGTTATTCTGATGTAAGAACTATATTATTGTAAAGTTTCATTAAAATCCAATCAGTAGTGTTTGTGTACTAAGCTGTATAAGTTACTATAGTTTTTTAAGTATCTCACGGGAACTCTTTAATTTTCCAAGATGAAAAGTATCTAAAATGTTATATATAAGGTACCACCATGCAAAATTTCATTTAAATCGGTACAACAGTTTCGGAGATTAACCCGTACAAACAGAGAAACAAATAAACAGACAGAGAACAAAAAATTTGAAAAAAATAACTAGATTTGTTCTATTTCTCTTCTTACATTCCCCTGACTTGGTTTTTAGCAAAAAAAAATTTCTATGTACAGACATTCGACCTCTACAGTTTTATTATATGTATAGATAAAAAAACTTCGCCGGTTACGTAGTAAAACAAAAAACAAATTTCTATTCAGGCCTTGTCAGTGTTGCCAGACTCAGTGTCGCTGGGCCGGCTCAAGTACTTCCTGGAGAGCGCGTTGGAGAGCCAGCTCACGCTCAAGCGGCGCACGCAGGTCCTTAAAGGATTGCTATATGCTGAGCACTTACAGGTGGAAAATTCTTTTACATTTTTTTTAGATGAAATGTATTTTATTCAATTAGACTTATTATAAGCACTTTTGAATCCTCAATATAATTTAAAGACCGTTAGAGCAGTCAGTCCGTGAGGAAGCTACAACCGGCTCGGAAAGCAGTTCTGCTGAGAAGAGCGAGAAACTCAACAGTTGCACTATTATTTTATATCGAAGTTACATTATTTAATTTATTAACATAATATAGATAGTCGCATGAGTCAATATTTCTGAATTCTACACATTTCCATCAACAAGAAACTCTTGAACAAAGTAATACGCTATGCTCAATAAAACATTTTTAATTTTGTCTTTAAATTGTTATAATTATAATAATAATTCAGCCAATTTAAGCGTCCGATTGGGCTGGAGACTACCTTCAATGTGAGAGTGATCAGGTCATAGTTCACCACGCTGGTTTAGTGCGGAATGTTGAAAATGATTGGCACATGAAAATATCAAAGGTGCGGTTTTAAGCCTGGGTCAAACCTCTCTACCCTGCTTTCCACGGGAGTAGTTTTGGGTGATAACCCATTTAGGGGATTCCCGCCCACTAGAATATTTGCCATGTAGATCTATCTCGGTAGTCATTAGTCGGTAACTAATATTAAAATACTTTATTCAAATTATTTAATTATATTGTTATTCAATTTCCTAAAACTACTTAATATCTATTTTTTTTTAAATATTTATCAGGTACAAGAAGTTAAGCAATTCCACGAGTCGAAGAGCATAGTGATAAACGACTACAACGTCTGTCCAGTTTGTAAGAAACGTTTCGGCAATCAGAGCGCGTTCGTGCGCTACCCTAATGGCGATATTGTTCATTATTCTTGTAAACTTGATAAGTAAAAGTAAATATATAAAAAACAATTAGTAAATTTATATATTAATTTCTTATGCGCACTTGGCTGTAAAAATTATAAACCCAAAAATCATGCTGATGCATGGGAAATTTACTATTTTATATGTACTGTACTTGTATTCACTAAAAGACTTTTTATATTTGTTTAGATTTTTTTAAGTCAATAAATTATATATCAATAATAGGTATACTCTCTCATACTAGATTTGAAAAAAAATATAATTAAACTTTGAGTTATAATTTAAATGTAATAACTACAATAATTTAGTCTTAAACGAGATGTTCAATATCTGCGAAAAATAGTTAGAAAAGTCAGAAAATTGTGGGAGATGGCTCATTTAACACGGAGTATAATTCTGAGAAAAGTAGTTTTTTTATTTTCTGCAAATAAAAATTGTAATTGTTATACTCAATATTTTTTATTTCGGTTATACTCTCTCTAGGAGCGACGCGCTAGAGGCAAAACGGCAGCGCGGAAGCCCATTTTCCACGACTGATTAAAATTATTGCTAATTATTGCTTGAGTTCCGGGAGTCGAAAAATCTTTTTAGAAATTTACTCCTCTTTACCGATTTCTGTGTTAATTTTCGTTATCATTTACCGTTTTCAAGTTATAAACAAAAACACTGAGGCCTTATTTTTTCGTTTCAGATTTTTGTTTGTAGTAAATTGCAATTTTTATATGCAGGAAATAAAAAAAACTACTTTCTCAGAACTATATTTCGCGTCCATCTCTCATAATTGTCTGCCTTTTCTAACTATTTTTCGCAGATATTACACTTCTCGACTAGACTAAATAGTTTTTTAACATAATAGTAACTTATATTTTAAAATTTAATAAACTATTTAAATATAATTTATACAACAATGCTTTTTATAATCAAAAGTAACTTAAAGTATGTAATTAATAATCTTGGCTAGGTGTCATTGTCTAAAGTAAAATATTATTACAGATCTCATTGAAATTCATTTTTCTTAAAATATAGCAATAAAAGTCTAGATCTGTTTATTCTTTGAATATGAATTAGTAACATTTTGTAATCATTTTCTGTTTCAATTGTGTTTAAAAAGTATCTTGAAAGTTTAATAAAAATACAAATTATAAAATACATAAATTTCTGTTGCTGAATAATTGCTTTAGACATCTATCGGGGAAGAAATACAGTTACGTTTTCCTTAAAATCAATCTGTTTGTATTTCAATGGTTATTGACAAATTGGATCGTCGATTTGGCAGCTGTTATTGGGTCAGATATTTATAATCTGTTATCAGACTGGGCTTTAGTCAATGAGTAAGGATCTTTTTTTAGCTGCTTTATTTTAATTTGTTTTAACATTTTACCCAATTAAGTACCTACCATTGAAATCCGATTATAAATTTATGAAAGATTTAGACTAATTTGCACTTTATTAAAAAGTCGCCATAAATTATAAATATTATGCTTTTGTATGTCATGTGTATAAATGTTATCCAAAAATCGATGTAATTATTATTAAAAACCGTAAATAAACCATTTATAGATAAAAGTGATTTTTTTTAACTTTCCCATCTCTTTATGGACAGGTAGAGGTCAAAGTGACATCACTCTTCCCCACACCGATTATTTTGAATGACGGGACCTACCACGTTTTGTTTTACTACATGCAAGTACGGGAAAGTTATTTGTATGGCCATTGCAAAAATTGATTATTGCAAGTTTTGAACCCATGATTTCTGACGTAGTACTCTAGTCGGCCAGTATATTTTAGTAATCTTCCCTATGCCGGACTGTGGGTCACTTTATGTGAATGTTTTACATAATATCTAAATACAATTAAATTATAATACACTAAAGTGATTTGTTAAAACAAAGATTCTGACGAATTGAGAACCTCCTCTTTTTTGGAAATCGGTTAATTAATAATTATTATAATTTTAAAGAAAATGAAATTCTTAGAGAAAATTACGAATTTTTTTTAATAAAAAAGCGATTTCACTTACTGCTAGTGTAGGTAATAGACACAGTAAATGCGTAGGTAAGTGGTCCTATGGCCTAATTAATACGAGGGAGGCTCTACGTAATCACCTACTATACAGGTGATATACTTAAATGCATTTCGCAACGTCAAAAAAGGCAAAAGGAACAACAGCAGTGGGGTTCCAAAGTAGGATTTAGTGAGTACGAGTCTCACAGTACGCTGCTCACAGTCGGCAGATACGAACTCGTAATGATACCCAGCTATATCACACAGAAGGTCAAATTGTAGGCAACAAATTAACTCTTAATTCGATAAGAGAAATGGTGTCCTTCAGACCGATTTCGGCCACGGCGGCCAATTTCACTGAGCCTATCCAACTGGGCAGGAGATACCTATTATAGTGCACGAGTGTATACGCAAGTGCTCTGTATCGCTGTCCGTTTCTTAATCCGATGTAACGATAATTCAATATAACCGGTGAGCTCAGGCTCTCAGAAACGCCACTAAAATCCCAACTCCGGGCTGTTACTAAGGATTTCTTGACAGGAAAACTTAATAATTAAACTTGACCCCACCCGGGACTTGAATCCAGGATTTCCGAATCTACAGCCGTACATACTAGCCATAAGACCACTGAGGCAGTTAGGAAGAATAGAGAACAAAATACATAAAAAAACACGGGCAGGGCGTGTTATTAATTTAATTATGTTAAAAGCTTATTTTTTCCATATTTATATGTGTAAAGCAGATATGTTAAATATGGAAAAACCAACGATACTATCGTAAAATTTCAGGTGCCTTAGAACTTGATGAAACTCATCATGTAAAAAGTAATTAATTAATTAATTATTAATTAACAAAATTTTAATTTTTGTCTGTGGCCGTGAACTTAATGATATTGTTTGCTTATGGCATATTATTTTCAAATCTACCCTCAGAATTTTTTGTGTAGCTCAAATTATTTTATTTTTGAATTTCATCATTTAAGCGTATCTATCCGTTGATAACGTTCGTGTTTCACTATGTTAAGATTAATAACTAAAGTTTTTTGGCGTTTTTTTGTTGACAGTTCAAAACGTAGCCTAAAATGCATTCTTATATAATGGAAATGAATCTGCTGGCGTACGAAGTATTCACAGTACAAAGTTAAAAGAAGACAGCTTACGAATGACACCCAATTTAAAATATTATGAATGAGCTTGAATTAAAGGCTCCGACAACTTTGTCTCTGTGATGCGAAACTTTCTCAGAAAGTGAACATCTGAAAATTATATTGAACATATAGTAGACCTCCTTTTAGAATTAAAAAAACATAAGATGCAATATGAGCATAAACTCCACTTTCTACATAGTTGCTTGGATAGGTTTCCTGAAAATCTAGGAGATATGAGCGAAGAGCATGGTAAACGTACGCATCAAGATTTACGCGTCATGGAAGAACTCAATCAGTGTTTCTAGGATACAAATATTGTGTCTGACTATTGATACACATAAGACGAGAGCTTTAAAACGGTTTTTTTAGGACTATGTGTTTAATTTATTTTTTTAATATAAAATTTCTTAGTGAATACATGTTTAAATTAAATTTAACTCTTTTTTTATCTGAAATTCAAAAACGCGAGCTGATCCAAAAATTCTAATTATATATTTGAACTTAGCATACCATACTTAGCAACAGTAAAAAAAATTCCGGTAACTCCGTTCCGGCCGTTCAAGCTGTTATAGTTTAAGAACTTATGTAAAAAGTTTACACAATAATTAAATACAATATTAAAATATCTTCTGTGATATAATTTCCTGTAAGATTTGTATTAAATTGAAATTAATATTTTTTTTTGATCAATTTATATTTTAAATAATAAGTTTATATATGAACTTTCTACGTATTTAAATAATAAAAAAATCATCTAACATTCATTTTTAAAATCAAGTATAATATAATAATAAATCAATATACCTATAGATTTTTTGTACAATGAAAATTATAAAGTAAAAAAATACGGAGATCAATAATCATTTATAGTCAAAGTCAAACAAATTAATCACCTATCAATTTATAACAAGTTCTAATTTCGATACATATTAAATTATTATATGATATAGATTCTCTAGCCGAACGACTTAGATAGTCTACCAGAAAAACAAGTTACAAAGTTGTCGCCTTAGATGTAGAGTTGATTAATAAGATAGATAAGAGAAATGATTAAAGTTATAATTATAATTTTTATTAGTAATATGTTTTTCTAAAATGAGGAAAATTGTGTATTATTAAGATAGCACTACTCTACGTTATTTCATTTCGACGTAATAAATACATCGAGAGTTTTGGCTGGTAATTATAATAATTCATGAGAGAATGAGCACACGAGCATGTCGACTTCCTGAAGATAGTTGTAGGCGATGGTGTGTTAAACAGACATTAATGAAGAAATAATTTATCAGTGAGTTAATTGTAGAGTGAGTGAGCGGGCGTGACGCGCTCGGTGACGCAAGTCGTTAGCGCCGGTAGAACGCGGGCCGTCTCTTGCGCCGCTCCGCCGCACGCCTCTGTGGCCCAATGGATAAGGCATCGGCCTCCTAAGCCGAGGATTGTGGGTTCGAGTCCCACCAGAGGTACATGCTCACTTTTTACAAAAACTCTACCAACTCTATCATATACTTATTGGTAATATTGTTATGTTCTTTAACACTTAACTTTAATTTAATATTATTTATGTTGAAAATTATACGTTGTGTGTGTTTCTTATTTATATACGATATTTGTATTGTATATTTTAATGATAAGATATTCTGTTTATTTTTATATTACAACATCACTCTACGAGTGATATATATACAATGTATATCCATGTGTATTTAATAAGTATGGGGAATAATGTATAAAATAAATAATTTGTCTGATTGGAATTTTTATTGGCATAAAGACACTTCGAATTCGTTTCTAACAAGGATTTTCTAAGTAAAGATGGAATACAATATACACAGTTTATCGTTAACCTACGTAACACGACAACCTGTCATTCCAG